TTATATGATGACGGTCTGAACAGAAGCTGCAAAAGTGACGTCGCGTCTTCACTTTTTATTTCACGTTTTGTCGAGTGTTTTCAGGAGGAAATCTGCGTGCATACAGTGACACAAAATTGTGTGGCATTCAACTGGGTATGTTTGTACTTAAAGCAACAAGAGCATCTTTGGACATACGGATGTTTTCAGGCCACACATTTTCATCAGCTACTCCTTCCACAAAGTTGTCCCACTATCGACTGGTTCTCCAGGTCTCGTCCATATGCGTCTGACTTACCTGCGACCAACTGGTGCATCCAGAATTTAAAAGAGGTGATTGCAGATCCTTCTCTGTTCACTAATAGTATCTCTGCATATTCTGTACATTTGTTGGGTTGTTGGTTTCAGATTTTTTAGCTTTTAACCCCCAAAAAACGCTGTCACCATCTAAACGAAAGGCACTTCCAATAAAATATTTTGTTGTTTTTACCCGCAAGCGTACTCCTGTAAACAGGCCCTCAGTGTCCATGTGTACACTGGTGTGTGTGTCTGTGTTTGTGTGTCTGTGTGTGTGGGAGTGCGTGTGTGTGTGTGTGTGTGTGTGCACGTGTGTGTGTGTACATATGTGAGTGGGTGAGTGGTTCCTTGATGTAAAGCACTTTGAGTGGAAAAGTGCTGTAATTTTACCATTTACCATTTAGCAATTTTCACTAAGACAAAGAGATGACTCCACCAAACCTGATAAAACGCCAGTAATTGAATAAATGAAAGTTAAAACAATAATGCAAAACAACACCATTAGGCAAAACAAAACCATTTTCATGAGGCAAGCAGATGATGGACCAGAAATCTTGTGTATTGCGCCTTTAAAGAATAACTTGCTGGTGTGACACGGGGATAAAATTTAATATACTCTAATCATATAGGGTCTGTGTACATTTTTGTCGCCATCACGATGTAATTTTTTGGCTTGGAAGGTTTCACAGTATGGTATTAAACATAACTATCTCCTTGGAAACAAGCAGGAGATGCCACCAGACCAAGATCTGTGCGGAGGATGACCTGCTGACTGTAGGTGTGCATGTTCTATGAGCAACAAAAAAAAACATAACTTAATGAATGAAAGATGGATAAGTTTAATGCCACACTGTGAACCATTTCAGACAAAGTAATAACCACCTCAATGTGATCAAGCAGGCGATGAAGGTTACACAATGCATCCTTAAGTGAAAATAGTGTTAGGATTTACAATGTATATTTGTGTTATTTCCAAATGTTTATTTCTTTAAAATAAGTCACATAAAGTTGAGTCAACTTTTCCTTTGTTTTACTCTGGCACTGATGTGAAACCTTAATCAAATCGCTGTTGTATTTTGCACAAACCAAAGAATATGCTTAATTTAATTTAATTTAATGCCCAATTTTTGTCACCACAGGCTGGCCGTGTGTTTTGTCTGTTGCAATCAGCACATCACTATGCAAATGTATTCAGACACCAGCTGCTGTGTGGAGAGGATATCGCAAAGACACCCTTGAAACTAGCAACTTTTTTAATGAGCCCTCTGTACTTCATGAATACCGTGGACAGGTAGGTCGGAGGAGTCAAGTGCGGCTATTGTGAATGTTGCCGGACTTGGCCAAAGCAGCGGATATCTTAACTAATGCCGGATCTCATACAAATAGGGTCAGAAATGTGTGAAAAGATGATCAGAGCGTGATGTTTGTTGCGTAATATGATTTATGAGTGACAGATGAAGCTTTAGTGGGTAAGCTGGTGGATAAAGACTGCTATAAAGATGTGTGTAATTAAATAGGCTCAAGTAAATCCAACGGAAATGTTATCTAATGTTTTATAATGCATTTGAGGTCAACTTTTTCACTACATTGTATTGTTCATTAACTTTTAATTTTGTGCATCCATGCTAAACTTCCAAGACTGGGTATTCTGAAACTGGTGTATCTGTGGAACCTCTTCTCCATCGTTGCCACAGCTGTCCTGGGACAGACTGACATACACCTGGCTACCTATCTGCGACTCCCAACTACTGGATTAAGGGCCTGTTTACACGAGAACGCTTGCGACGAAATGACAAAATATTTTATCGGAAGCACCTTTCATTTAGATGGCGATGGCGTTTTTGGGGCTTAAAAACGAAAAATCTGAAACCACCCTCCAGAGTGGAAAAGCTGAATATGCTCAGCTGTAGCGTTTCCGCCTACACTGCCCAAGACGCAAAACTCTGGTCAGATCTGCTCACGTTGCGTACTTGTTTACCTCACATACATCGCCACTTAGCGTCACCACCTAGCGTCACCACCTAGCTACCTGGCATGCATACCCAATTGAATTCCATACACTTTTGCGTCACCTTGTGCTCGCAGATTTCCTCTCAAAAACACTTGTCTAAACGTGGAATAAAAAGTGAAGACGCTACGCCACTTTTGCGTCTTCTGTTCAGACCGTCATCATATAAACGTAGCCTAAAACTAGTGTAGCTGTAAAACCTCTTCTACTTCATTGCCACAGCTGCCCTGGGACAGACTGACCTACAGCTGGCTATCTATCTGCAACATTGGCCTCTCCGACTATCGTACTCCCAACTACTTGATTAAGATTAAGTGATTAAGTGTCATTAAGGGACACAACAGCAGTATGCACTAGCTGGATCTGGGAATACACTGCAATCAATTAGATAATATTGCCTCTAGAAGCAATATAATATATCTTGAATTTATGCATTTTTGTTTACTTTTAAACCACTTTAAAACAGTGGCTGTTCAATGTCCAAATATGTCACCATGTTTAACCAAATTTTTTTTTTAAAGAAATGTTTGTATTGAGGGGTTGTCGGTTTAACCCTTGGTTTAACTCTGAAACTCTTGACTTTGAACTTCAAATGAACAGTTTGAAATAAATTTTTATGTATAGTGAATGTGTGGTTTTATGTACTTTTCTGTGATTGTTGTTGTACTTTTCTCTGTCCTGTAGATGATTTTATATCAACCTGTCAAGGGACTGAAGAAATTAGCCACGCTGGCTATAATCTTTACATATTTACATTTTTAATGTTCATTAATATGTGCAGTTCTTTTACAAATAAATAAATAAGAAATACTTTTTTTGTCCATTACTACCAACAGTAGTAGTTTCATTATTCTATTAGTTTTGCATGATTGCCCCAATTTTTTTTTTTTTTTTTTTTTTTTTTTTTTTTTTTTTTTTACAATCCTGAGACACCTAATGAACGAAATGACAACTGACCTGAAGGGGTTTATAAGGTCAAATCACAAAATCTGCTCCTACTGCTAACCTTTTCACCACTAATTGATGTAATTTGACTGTTAGCAGCTGCAGACTGGGAGGTGGCAATCAAAACAAATGGGCTGTTTTGGCTTCTGTGGGGAGGGGCAATGGGGGGTATAAATACAAACACTTAATTACTTTCCGCCTTGGATAAGAGGAGGTGCTTGGAAACCTCTGGTACCAAGAATGACCTAAGAGAGAAGAGATATTAGGAGATATAATGTAACTTTCTGGAAAATAAAGAAGGCAAAACCAGATGTAATCCAAAAATTAAAGATGGACTATGTAAATGTTCTGTTGGAGTAATCTGCCATCTTGTCTGGAATGTTACAAAGTATGACATTTAACAGACCTGCCTTATACTTATTCTAAATATAGACTTAACTGGATCCATACTAGTATATAGTGGTCTATGTCTGTACTTTTGAGAACTCGTAAAAAGAAATAACCTAACCAACATATCAGTATATGAACATTTACTACATACATACATATCACTTAAAGGGACAGTTTGGAATTTTGGACATAGGGCCTCATTTCCTAATGAGCCAGAGTGTTGGAGACGTGCGGAGACACTTTTTAAAATATTCCATCCAGTCCTTGTATTTGCAGAGGTCACTGGTGCTAGTCTAGTGCATGTCAATGGCCATAGTTATCCTGCCACTAAAAACAGTCTTACCCACTCCACAAAACACCCGAAGCAAATCTGTTATTGCACAAGACTGTCGATGTGAATGTCTGTGTAGAAAGAATAATTTTATAAGTAAAACCAACATTGTATTTGAAGGATTTAAGTCTGAGTAACAGCAGTGAGTTGTACTTCCTGATAGAAAGTTTGGCAGTGGCGGACTGATATATGAGAAAATAGTCCCTCAACATGCAACAATTCATGAGATGCAAGCTTAGTTTTATTTCAAACATTATTCTATCAACACAGACATTTACATTGACTTTAACTACAAGAGTCCCTAACACTACTTCATACCAATGAGAAACACTGATAAGACTCACAATTGCAAAAATTCAGAATGGAGAACTTATCGTTTCAATACAGTGCTTTGTTTTATTACTTCTTTCAATTGTTACAAAAATTGTACAGTCATAATAAACACATCTGTTGTACTAAAGCTTTGTGGCAATTACAGAAAGGTATGTAAGAATCATTTCAAAACTACTATTTCTTGGTGCTTAATTGATAATTTATATATCATTTACATTAAAGTTTCTCCAACCCAACATTACCTCTTGATAAACCATTGTAGCATAACATCCAACCATACGAGTGGGTCAAATACTGTGCGAGCATGTGTAGAAATATAAACATTACAAGGTGTGCGAATCCAAAACCTGGAAAAATGGACGGAAATGCTTCAGAAAGGGCATAAAAATAACCTTACTCCAACGTAATATCCAAATCAGAAGCCACCTAGGGTAAACAGACATACTAGTCCGGCCACAAGAGGTAACAAGTCGTATACTCTTTGTGCTAGCCCAAACCTTAGATAAATAGATGATGCAACAGGGAAGGGCATCTGGCATTTAAAAAAAAACACATATGCCAACTTAAAATGCAAATCACAGCACAATAGGAAGCTTCTGTTTGCCTTAGAGGATCAAACGAGAGTCCATCAGATAACATGTCATGTACACTTGTGCTCGCCAAAACCCTGGGTAAATACAGTAGATAGAGACAAAACCCTCATCAAAACATCAGGTAGGGCATCAGGTGTAAAAATAGAAACATTAGGAGGAAGATGGTTTGTTGTGGAGAGCCTCATATAAAGTAATATTACTATTCCAGCCACACACACTATATATTTGTGCCAGTCCCAAGCTTGGTTAACTTGATTATTATTATTATAAACTGTGAATTGTCAACCATACATAGAAAATAAGATGTGAATATAAAGACATTTTAGCATATCATAAATATTCTTTAACATCTACTTGTAAAATGTCTTCTAGTGAAAAATCCTTGAGCACTTAGTGACGACTAATTGCTTTGAACAAGTTCCTTCAGCTATCACTTTAAGACCACTGCCAACTACTGTGAATGTTCAATACTGCATCAGCTCCTTTGGCCAAATCCATTATCTCTGCCCCGAAGGTTGAGTGTGGTTTAGTTGGCACAAATTGTTCTCTCATTCAACAGACCATTGCGATTGGAAGCTGTGGATTATGTCCCAGTAGAGTCCAATCCGTGCAAATACCATGTTTACTAGTTTACCTCTTCCTAGTTTTGTTATGTTTCACCATTTTCTTCTTTTTTATAATCATTTCGTACAGTTTTTCAAGTCCAGGCTGGAGTCCTTGCCCGTCTACAGCACTGCAGCCTTGTATGTGGTGCAGAGTGTACATGGTGAGTTCATGAATGGCCAGCATCTTTTCCACTTCGGTCACGGACAGCGCAGATTCCTGGTCTTGTTTATTAGCCAGGATTAGCACCGGGACTCCCTGGTTTTCGGACGTGCGGGTGATTTTGTGCAGCTCTACTCTGGCTTCCTCCATTCGCTCCATTTCAGTAGAGTCCACCACAAAAACAATCCCGTCTGTACGCCTTGTATAGGATTTCCACAGTGGACGGAGTTTATCTTGACCGCCAACATCCCAGACCTGGAAGTTGATAGCTCGCGATGCCCCCATGGCTACTTTGATTTTTTCCGTGTTGAAACCTTTAGTTGGAATTGTCTTCACAAACTCCTTTAGCTTCAGTCTATACAGCAGTGAAGTCTTGCCTGCAGAGTCCAGTCCTATGACAACTATATGGAGCGATTGGAAATTGGGCAAAAAAGACGGAGTTCCAGGAGCGATATCGGTTAGCTGGTTCCCCATCTTTATCTCGAATATTTAAATCCAAATGATTCCTGGTTTACTTCAGTTACATGGGCATGGGCTGGATCAGATGGTCTGGCCTCCTGAATAAAAACACATAAAGCAAGTTAGCGTATAACTATCACACAATAGCTTCACACATTGGTAATTTTGTGTGACAGAGTGAATACAAAGGGAGTATTAAGAAATTACAGATAGCTTTAGAAAAAGACAGGGGTAGTAATTACCAACAGTCCTTTCAGTAAATTAATGTTTACTTTCAGATAACAGACTGCATTTAAATATAAGGGGATTCACAGCATTGTGTATATAGCAATTAAAGGTTCAGTGGGCTATTTAGGTTTCCTGAATGCCAATTTCACATACTGAGCAGTTTTGTTTTTTTATAAGCATATAATTTTACGATTTTTACCTTTATAGTCTAAAATTGTACAATTTATCACATTTAAAGGTTATTTCAGCCACAAATATGTTAAAGAGCCACATGTATGGTCCTAAGAGTTCCTGTAATCCACTTTGGGGCTCTCAACCACCAGAGACCATCTGAGTATAGATTTTTTTTTCTAGTTACACATTAAACTAGTCTTTAATTAAAAGTTAATATAACACTAACCTTGTGTAAACCAAATCAACAAATCCACAAACACTGAATACCAGTTTAACGATTGCACAGTTATTTAACAGCTGAGCTCTATGAAGAATATTTTAATTTTAACCATTGTTTTACTGTTTTTGGAATTATTTGTTTATTTTATACAGATAGGACAACATTACAGCGTTAGTTTACTGCAGTTAATTGGGTGTCCTGCTCGGGTTATCTCTTCGTATTTGGCCCTGGTTAATCCTCTTATGCTCTAAACCTGACAGAATGTGCAGTGCAGCGGCGTGTACTTCTACTACATGCAACTGCAGTAATAATCCCGTTGTTGTTGACATCGTGATACCCATCTAACTACGAGTGCTTGCTCCAGTGCATGCTCCTGGGAGCACCGCACGGCCATTGTTTAGTTCTTGGAAAATAGTGATATGTTGTTGTCTAATAGTTTTAACTAAAGTAATTAATTCACAGATGATCTCTGCATTTGTGATGTTCTTATGGGAATACTGAGAGTTCTCGAAAATGCAACCTTCACGATTGGATGATTCCTATCGGATAGCGTGCGTAAAATACCCCAAAAGCCGTTAAATTTTACTTAGTCTATCGCATTGAAGCGAACAACAAGATTTAGTCGCTCAAATTGTCAGCAAAGAAGAAACTAAACAAGTTATCTCCATGATACAGTGCGGTTTCCAAAGTCTTACCTCCAGGATGCGCTGCGTAAAACATCATCCACACGAAATAAACACATCCATTGCTTGGATAAAATTGCGATATCCAAGGTCTCTTTGGATGTAGCTCAGAGGCGGCAGCAGCAGCAGAGCTGATGGATGAACGCTGAATGCGAGGAGAGCCGCGCGAGGGAAAAGCATCTGAAGACAGGGTGACGTAAGGATCAGCTGGGACCCTTTGAAGCGCCCTCTAGAGCCGGAGTAGAGCACTGCAGCACATCACAGGCAAAACAAACAAAATGTACAGAATATTATTTTATGTGGTAAGGAAACAGTATGTAGAAAAAGTGAGGAACCATGCTTGGAGAAGACAAACAAAGTCCAAAGCAAGCATGATTTTATTTGATCAGTTTTGGTTTTATTATTATAGTATATAGATATAAAATACAGCCTATGACCATATGATATGATATGATATGATATGATATATCGTGACATAAGGAACGAGATGAGATAATACAATGTGCGGGTTTCAAAAGCTTATAGAGTAACAAACTGTAAAATAACAGAATGTTGATCAAGTTGCAAGGTAGGGCACTTTTTCCTCACAATTCAACTGTCACTGAATGAAAGTTTAATCCCACTAAAAGGCTGGAACTCAGTGTCAACAAACTATGGATAGCAAAGAATACAATTTATAAATTATTTCTATCTTTTGAATGCTTAGATTATCAAAATATATACAGGGCCTAGCAGTTTCCCAATTTCTCAAACAATCTACATTAATTAATATGACCATAAATGACCAAAATATTATTTTGCATGTTTACTTGATGGCTGCTAAAAAAAACTGGCCTGAATATACTCTATCGGTGTCTCCACATTTGACATTGCTCAGGACCCGTGTGCTGGTCAGTGTCAAAGGACAGGCTTTAATTCCGTTTAATCGCTGTGATGTTCACTCCCCCTTCCAAATGGTTTGAAGTCCTTTTCTTTTTTTCCTGTTCATTTTTAAGGCCTCAGTCCCTGCAGGGTTAGGTCCTATTGCTTTAAGAGGGTGAAGCCCATATAGGGTTTTTTTTCTGTTTATTTGTTTTTGTTTTTGTTTTGTTTCTTTCTGTTTATCTGTTTTTTCTTTTTATCTTGGGGCTCTGGAAACCTCTGGGCCAGGCTTCGAACCCACAGTGGACTGAGACACCATCTCTGTCCAACTGGAATGTTTTCTGATTCTGAAGAAGAAAAAACAAAAACAAAGATTGTACCAACCAAATGAACAATTCTAAGTTTTAGTAGCCCCAAACGATTACAATTCCAATTCATAATAGCACTGAACATTTTAAATGACAGAAGAAAAAATAAACTGTTAAAAGATATTGTACATGAGGGACAGCAGACACTATCTCCCCCCAGTGGTCATTCACCCTCACAGTCAGAGTCAGTCAGAGAGGCTGCTGGAGTGTAAGTGTAAATTTATAAAAATGTAATTACAGTTTTTTCAATGACATAAAGTGCAACAAGGAATGTTAACACAAAGATAATGTAAAAGGAAATAGGCTTACAAAAAACAAATGAACACTGACAAATGCACAAAAATATTTGACGTTGTTTATGTTTTGTCCAACAGGACAGCAGGAGGACGGAGAGGTCTCCAGCGCCTGCCCCTCGGACCACACGAGCCCGCCGCGGTGGTCCCTCGGCAAGGAGCAGCTCTCCACCCTCCTCTTCCGCTCCGGTAGGCCTGTTCACAGCTGATCTTTTCTCTTGTTACAATGTTGTTGAAAAGACATTTGTGTTAACCTGTGTGTTTCTGATGTTCCAGCTCCAGAGAGGACAGGCTAGGGCCCTCCACCGCTGGGACACCCGTGACTCGTCGGCAGGTAAGACTCACACATTTGTCTCCACTAAAACCTGTCTCTTGGTGGTTTAGATTGTTTGTTGGAGTTTTACATGTTTTATACCTTTTCCACTTTTTTTCCTTTTCAACCAAAATTGCACTTTTGTAGGCTGCCAGCAGCAGAAGACCTCTGCCTCGGCGGACCGGTCCTTCTGCTCGTGCGCCGGTAAGTTTAACCTTGAATATTCAGTGATCACACATCAGTATGAAATGTCTAATGCAGGGGTGTCAAACTAATTTTGGTCCGGGGGCCGTATCCAAACTACTTTGATCCTAAAGGGGTCGGATCAGAAAACTCATGGCATATATACCCCAAAAACAGCAATAAGTTCAAGTATTTGTGCAGAGAAACGCAAATCTATTACAGAAATCTTTTTTAATTGATGAACTCTTTCTTTTACAAAATATTATAATATTATGAGAAAAAATGCTATTTCAACACAGTGTTTTAACATGAACTTGTATGCAAATAGGAATAAGTCAATTTTTCTTGGAAAATCCTGCACTTGGCGTCCACTTTTCTATTTTTGACATTTTGCTGATGAGGGTGTCACATTCAACAGTCAAAACGATCGTCCTTTAAGAGCATTTGGAAAGAGGCAAGTCTTCATTTGTGCTGCTCTGGTGGGAGGGGCCACGCACAGAGGCGCTGGAGATGCTGCTCTGCTAAGCGGAACAGAAAATTACCAATATTTTAATAGAAAATATGATTAAAATATTTTAGTAGAAAATCAGCCGAGGGCCAGATTAAAGGTCTTGGAGGGCCGGATCCGGCCCCTGGGCCTTATGTTTGACACCTGTGGTCTAATGGGTCATGGTCTTTTTTTTTCTCCATCCTGTTGCGAGTCGCAGCCCTGGGCCCTCCCCCTCTGGCTCTGCCGCCCCGAGCTCCTCTGTTGCCCCTCGCCCTGGTGCACAGGTAAGTCTTATGTTTCTCAGAATGAAACAATGTGCCATAGTTCATTGTTCAAGTCTTAAATTCAAGGAAACCTTTTCTGTTTTCAAAAGCCCTCCAGGAGCCACCTTCCTCGGCCCTCCACTTCAGGGTCCCAGGGCCAGCGTGACCTGGTGAGTGTGGTCATTTCCCTATGGCAGTGTAGTGTGCTTTGTGTTTAATGTGTGTATGTTTTTTGAGCGGCCTGGAGAGCCGCAGCTGTCCCTGCCTCTCTGACTCCATGTGTGAGACTTGGACCGCTTCCTGGAGGTACACAGCACCCTACTATTGATCATGTCAAATGGACACATAATGCTATAAGGTGACTGTGCTCTCTTTCAGATCCTTGGTCCTATGCTTCCTAACCTGCACCACATGGAGGAGGAGGTTTGGATGTACGTCTCCGGCTCAGACTCCATGCTGGTGACACCCCCCTGGGTGTCTGCCTCCACTATCCGTGAGGTTGAGGAGAGCATGGGGTCCATCTTCAGTTTCAGCTGCTCACTCTACAGCAACGAAATGTAAGTCTCGAAGCTGTGTGGTTTAACTGTTCTTTTTTTTTTTTTTCACAGTGACAGGTATTGGGAAGTACTGTAACATGGTCTCAGGTGAGTAGTACTGTCTTTTTATTTGACAATGTCATTTTGAGTTCAAGGTTTGTACCACAGCAGGAGGATGCAACACTCTACTCCACACTGCTGCCCAGTCGTCATGTGTGATGCCATAGTTTAAAGAATGCATTTATTCACTACATGCAGATGTTACAGATGGATGATCAATGGAAAAAGGAGACTAGAGGGATGCATGGAGAAAGTCAACACCCATTAGGACCACCCAACCGTGCCTCTCTGCTCATTGGTGCCCCAGGTAAGCAAATCTTACATGAAACCACAGTGCAACTATCCATCATGTATGTCTCTACCAGTGCTTTCATTTGATCCTTAAATCTTAAATCTAATGCAGTAGCCTTTGATAAAAAGTGGTACAGTAAAAATGTTGAAAACTGTTGAGTGCAGTTGAATAATGTTCATCATGTTTTCTTAGTGAAAAGTATCTTTGATGATGGCGAGGCCTGTCATAGTTCATGTATATGAGCCAACGTAGGTAAAAGACATGTCCGAGTAACTGAGCACGCCTGGAAAGAATCGCGGTGTGACACGTCACAGCGGCCACTATGAGACGCTTCTGACAAAAACTGAAGGTACCAAGAGAATACATTATCATCTCCTATCTACATTTTCTAATATGAATGAACAACTAAACGTAAACGATACTGGACAAAAGTTTATTTGGTCGAATATGTTTCACAGCTTGGATGAGCCATCTTAACATTTCTCTGTTTTGTTTTTTTCAGCGTAGTACAATTCTGAATGGTTCTGGACAGGAGAGGGAGATTCCTTCATAAGAATGCTACCAGGTTTGTTGAGTAGCTTTTTAAAATAGAATTGAATAGAATTTTCAACATGTACCACCCTGTCATCATGAATGAAGAAATAAGACGGAAACTGTGTGAAAACTCTGCTGTGTTCCAAGTGTATTGCAGAGTATGTCCTCTACAGAAAAGCTCCAATATTCAGAACTGCTCATAATGGTCTAGAATATTTTAACTAAAATCATGTTTATTTTCCCCCCAGCTCATCCAATGCTTTCATTTGAAAAATGGACTCTACTGCCACCTGCTGGAGATGCCCCGAAGCTAAAACCAAATGAAGCTGAAGAAGTTTACTGTTGTCATCATGATGCAAATACGTCTATCACAAGGAACTATCAGATGTCCGGTAGGTTTATTGGCAGGTCCCCAAAATGCTCTTTGGTTTTGTAGCCTTTAAAAAATAATCAAAGCTACATTTTTTTATTGACATGTGTGCAGTAATTTGCAACTGATACTGTTTTAAGATGATTAATACTCATAGTGTTTTGCTGCAATATAATTTGGTTGTTGATTTTACCAAACAATATAGATAAGAGATAAGGTGACCAAGAACCTGGGAAGAACCGCTGTTAAGACGCCACCCGAAGACTGAAGTAACTGTGAAAACATGTCAAGGTAATACATCATCATCATATCTATATCGTCTAATATACATTAACAGATAATTATACCCCCATAGTAATAATGTTAGTTTGAGTTGTTTTAAACACACTTTAAACAATGATTGTGTGTTGTTTTTCAACATGGATGGAAAAGCAAGTTAACTGTGGCAAAGACAAGATTTTTATGTCCGTTGAGATTTCTGTGCAAGACAGCCAGGTGGATAAAATAGACCAGAGTGGCCCCTATCTTGTCAAATGTGTTAAAATATGACCTGAAGTGGCATCATAAGAAGGGCAAATAAAGCAGATACCCTCGGACTTAAGTTACACAGAGGATGGTTATGGACAGAAGAGTGAGATGCCTCCGTAAAAGGACCCCAGGTTTGTTGTAACTCTTAGCACAATCTAACATGTGTTAATTCCAAACAGGTTCAAACTGAATTTCTGTTATAGCTTCTTGAACTTGAACCAGAGCCATGCTGTCATGAGTGAAGAAATGAGAAAAACACATTGTGCAGAAGATGCCCTTTATGGAAAAGGTGAAATATTTGAAATTGCTTATAAAGGTTAACAATATTTTCAAATCTAAAATCATGTCTCCTTTTTTCCCAGCTCCACTGGACCAGACAGAGTGGTGGTTCTTCTTCTCCAACATGTCACAGTCCATGTCATGGGTCCTGGCCTGCTTCCTAGCAGCCATAGTCTCAGTGTCCAAACAGTCCATCGCCACGTGTCTAAACCAGTACAGAACTGTGGCACTCAATAAAAATCTTTTGAAATTTTCATCAAATTATTTGACATGGTTTTGTCATTTCAGAGTGAGAATGAAATTTAATAGCTTTTGAAAAAAAAAATATTTTCATGGTAACGTTTTCTACTTGTAAGAATGTGTTGGATGACTTTTGAACATCAGTATCAGATGAAAAAAAAAAATGAATAGGCCTAATTGACAATGCAGTAAACATTTATTTTCCTACTCACGTGAGGGGGTATTTGGACTGTTCTCGATAGATATACTTAATATTCATTTAGCCTACTACATATCAAAAACAGTTGCTATCTTATAAATCATTTTATATTTCAACATTTGAGTGGCAAAGTGAAACAAAAAAACAGTAATAATGTACTTAATGTGTGGCTGAATCAGGACAAAGAGACTAAAGACAAAAATGGTTACATAAACCTCAAGAATTATGAAGCGATGATGCTGATGATGAAGTTTTCTATTCAGAGAATGAAGAACAGAAGCTCCAGATGTGGTTTGGAATCATTTATTTAATTGATTTTGACTTTTACTGAGGCAAATACTAACCTATGCATAGCACTTTTAAAATGTAATTATAAATAAGGCTGACACCATTAACTGGAATAGGCAATGGCAGGTCAACTACTAAAACAATCCTTAGTTGCAGGTCTACTCAGACTGCACTCTAATTTTAGCATAACAAACCTTTCCTGTGGTTTTGAGATCCATATGTGTTTGATTGACAACGCTGGAGTTACTGTAGTGCCAGAAATATGGTGTGAATCCTGAAGCTGGTCTTGCAGTAGGTGCTAAAAAAATACAAAACCAGGTGTTGACATGAGACTGCGCCTGTGATATTTGGTTTTAATTTGCAAAAAAATATCTTACTTTAGGCCATTTTTATCACTTTGTTGCATTGGATCAAACTTACTCTGCTCCTGGTTTAAAATCTGCTGCTTCTCCAGCTTTTCAAAGGTTTTCAGGTCCAGTGAGGTGAGTGCCATGGGTCTAAAGTCGTGAAGACCCTTCGGTGCATTTGGCCACAGTGACAACAGTGGAACAGTGGTCTGAAGAGCGAGAGACTGGGTAACTATTTTCTCAAAAATACCACTTAATTGGGAAGACTTGAACCTGCAGCCCGATATATTGTTAGGACCAGGGCTCTTGTTTAGTCGGTTTAAAAAGTTTTTCTACCTCAGCAGAATCAATGTTGAAGGAAGAGCTGTCCCTTACTCACTCCCATAAATAGGCAGTTTTGTCACAAACATTAATTGAGGATATAAATTCAATTAATTTGCCAATTTTAAGTTACAGTTGAAGCCACCTGAGAAAAATTGTTTCCTTTTTTCCTCCAAGCGTGCCATAGATTTCATTTCTCTCCACACAGATTTGAAGTCAGCCTGGTTGAATTTGGATTCCATTTTCCTTTTATACTCCACTTTTGTTTTTTTAATCTCAACATGGATCACTTTTGTTATTCTGGCAAGCTCTGCTATGTCTTCCATTTTAAATATGTTTTTTTTTTCTGTTTTCTGTCTCCAGTTTCTTCAGCTCCTTTGTGACTCAGAGCTTGTTATTGGGATAGGAGAACACAGTTTTTGTTGGAATTAAACTATCAACACAAAATGAGACACAGATGCAGTTCATTAATAGGGGCTGATTATTCCTCAAAAACAGACCAGTCCATACAATCAAATCATTCCTGGAGAGTCTTAACAACAGTGAAAAGCTTGAAACATTTTACTTTGCCCCAAATACATTTTCTTTGTACTTTCACTGGATTGTATAATGTTATGCATAACCAGAATTGCATTTATTTTATGTGTATGGTTGTCAGAAAGACATACAAAACAAGACACTAAACAATACCAAATCTGGTATCAAAACTAGATACTTATTTGAACATTTTATCAATACTGAAGATATCATAAACAGGACAAAACTGGATTTTTACTCAATGTTTTTAGAATCATCTTGATATGTATTTGAACTAATAAAACGCCATAAGAATCTACTGTTGTTTTACAATAGAAAAGGCACAAAGTTTTCATATGTTGTAATATGTTGCTGTCTACACATTTTAATTAAAGTAATTCATTCAAAGATGATCCTTGGATTCTTTGTGATGTTTTTATGGGAATTCCTTTCTGATAGCGTGCGTAAAATACCCCAAAAGCCACTACATTTAACTTAGTCGGTCGCAATGAAGCGAACAAGATTTTGTTGCCCAAATTGTCAGTAAGAAAAAACTTTTCTGCGGTTTCCAAAGTCTTACCTCCAGGATGCGCTGCGTAAAACATCATCCACACGAAATGAACACATCCATTGATTAGTTCATGGATAAAATTGCGATATCCAAGGTCTCTTTGGATGTAGCTCAGAGGCGGCAGCAGCAGCAGAGCTGATGGATGAACGCTGAAAGCGAGGAGAGCCGCGCGAGGGAAAAGCATCTGAAGACAGGGTGACGTCAGGATCAGCTGGGACCCTTTGAAGCGCCCTCTAGAGCCGAAGTAGAGCACTGCAGCACATCACAGGCAAAACGAAACGTACACAGTATTATTTTATGTAGATGTAGTATGTGGGAAAGGTCAGGAACCATGCTTGGAGAAAACAAGCAAAGTCCAAAGCACACATGATTTTATTTGATCAGTTTTTATTTTATTATTATAGAATATAAATAATATAATTCACACTGTGGTCGCATGTGTTTGGGTCTCCTCTTACAGGACATACAATTCATCAAAGACAGGTGCCACAAAAATAAGGCGCTAAAAACAACACAAAATAGTAATTTCGTCATATTGTTCTCTGTCCATCCATTTGCAGGTCAGCGAGGAGCCTGCACTCCACAGGTCAGGCCTGAGCGTGTCAACTTTATTGTGAACTTATTTATAGGATTTTTAATTGTTGATTATCAGGCTATTAATAAAGAACATTTCAAATTGTGATACAACAACACAAACGTCTTAAAATTCAATTTTTAAAACATTGCATTTTATTAGTTTTAACGGTGTAAAAATACAGTACAAAAATGTGTATTCCATTTTAAATATTCTTCATGAATACCAATAAATGAATAAATAAATAAATAAATACCAATAAATAAATAAATAAATATGAGGTCAGTTATACAATTAAAAAAACTAATTATGATGAAATTATTTTTGTGGTTCAAGAGGAAGCCAGCAGGTGCACTTTATGGAGATGAATTCGGACTTCCTCCCGGACAAATTCCCAGGCATCAGCGCTGTAGTCCTGTAGGAAACAATTATACAGTTTAATCAACATTCAACAGCAACAGTCAAAAGTGTAGAATAATTATCTTTTTTCCCCCCTGAAGCTTACCATGTGCTCCAGGACGTGCCGTGAAAGTCTCTTAAAATACAGACTCATCTTCCTGTGATTCTTCTTGTGGTGATTTGTGGTTTGTTTTCCAGCCTGGACAAAGACAGAACAGTCAGTCAAGCTCCATTTCACGACTCTTACTGATGCGTATTCACTTTTGATCTTTGGATATGACACTTACACAACGCCTCACGCCGTTTGCCTGCTGCGAAATAATGTTCAAAAAGTCATCCACTGTGTTCTCTGGCCAGGACGCATGTGTTTGGTTCTCCTCAAACAGGGCATAAATCTCATCCAAGACATGTGCCACAAAACTCAGACGCTCTTCCCGCTAAACAAATAAACAAACAAAAACAACAAAAAATAGTAGTTATAATTGTAATATTTATTATTTAGGGTTTCATTGCGCCGAAAGTTTCCATAAATCTTCACTTACCGACTGTTTGGAGGCATGTTTGTACAACTGATCTGGGAAGGCCACAGCATCATCCACCTCAATATCATCAATGGAGTTTGTTTTCTAGATAAAAAGACGTATTAATTGTAAATAAACACGTAATATCGGCTGCTCCTCCAGTGCGTAATTGTCCTGAACTTACCATTGTTTTGAGAAGAACCAATGCGCTTTCGCTGTATTGTTTAAAATCCCTGTCCATCCATTTGCAGGTCAGCGAGGAGCCTGCACTGAAAAGGAGGCACACCAACAGGATCTTGTTCAGCATTTTGTTCAGGAGTTTATCAAACCAAATGTGTTGATAGTTGCTCAGTAAAAATCCGCTGTTTTGTGATATGGATCCAGTACAGATTTATTCTCGGGCTGATTGTTTCTGTCATGACCATAGCCTCAAGCCTCCATTTATGTAGGTGTACCTGAGTTCTTTGACTCCACCTGTTTTCGTTTTCCTAGACTCGGGAAATCACGGTCAGGGAGAGTGACTTTCAAGGTGGAAGGATTTCCCACATTCTCTGGTAACATTGGATTGCATCAGCGACAAGACAAGACTATTTTACAAATAGCCTAATAAAAAACGTACACAAAAATAATCACTTTTCCTAAATAATGTAAATATATATATATATATATATATATATATATATATATATATATATATATGCTAAAAGGTTATTCAAACATTAAAACATTAATAAATAAATAATTATAAAAACCGATGCGTAATTGTGCATAAACGCATAATCAGGTAAAAATTGTGGCGCGTAATGACGCTTATAGTGCGTAATTTATTTACTATAATAATGGTATATAGGTTATTACGTCCATATAGCCTACATTTGAATCAACATTTGAAGAATTTGTACATAAATATTATCTTTTTTGTTATTTACCTGATTGTATCTGTTTTTAACAGAACGATTTCCAATTCACTTTGTCATGGTTTAATCACCGGTTGTGGTTTCTAACCTGGATAATTGCTTTTGCATTTCTCACGGGGACGTCCCTGTGCACGCGCGCCTTAGGTGTGTATCCGAAAATGAAAGTGGATTGCGTCACTGAATGAGGCAACACGCACAGCATACCTGCACTTCACCTGACGTTTACGCGGAGGGATTTCTGTTTATTTTTACACACTGTTCATATTTGGCACAAAATACACAAAATAAAACATGTTATACAAGTTTAGACTTATGTAAGCTAATGTACTATTTTCTCCCTATAACGAAATAAGACAATAGAAATTACTTTGGTTGACTCAATTGCGACGCTTGGTGTCAAACGTATGTATTGCATCATGTTAACACACAAGGTGACCAGAATGCATTTCTTTTTAGTCTCTTAATCTTCTTTTTCTTTTGACAGAAGTATTCAAAACCACCTAGCAGAGTAAACCAGACACCTGTAACAAACAATGAAGAGAAAACTTTATTGTGGTGAGTGTTGTTGGGTTTTTATCTTTGTGTTCAAACGCTACTCTACTATTCTGTTTATCGCTGTAAAATATAATAAACTTATTTATAAGCAACAAGGAAGTGAGCTTGGAACAGTTTAAAGAACATGATGTCCTCCTCACATGATGGAGCAAAACATCAAAATGCCACTGTAACTGTGATGCGTTTATATACATTGGAAATATTAAAACTTCTATAGTTAAATCTATAATTTTAAGCCAGTTGGGGATATTATCTATACCTATAACATCAACGTAATTTATGATGTAACTGGGTGTAAATAAGTGTTATTGGCTAAATATGTCAAGAAATTAAACGTGTACAATTGTTAGCTTGACTATAATTAAACTCTCGGTTTAAAATAGTAACGTTATAACTAGTCCTTTATAATTTCTTGTATCTAGCATGTATCTAAATATACAATCTTTTCTTAAATAAATGAAGAGTCCAAACCTTCTGCTAAAACTGTATGAATAGTAAAATGTACTCATATTTCCCAGAACGGCGAAGGCATCGTAAAGACTACCCTACCCACAATGCACTTGTCCTCAGTTGGGCCAGTGGTAGGGGGAGAGCGCAGTGTCACGGCTGTGCGTAAAGAAGACAAAAATCCTGTGTTTTTGTACTTTTTGTGATTTTTACCTCCTGAAACGATGGAGGAAACGTGTCCACACCTATGACAATTTAACGGGATTATTTTTGGGCTCATAATCGCGCTGTTTTTGCCGCATTGATGACAAGATAACCAACCTGTTTCGGTAAGACGGCTAGCGCGAAAGCTAATTAGATACAGTCAAGGCTGGTGTTGTTGTCATTTTCCTTGGTGTTATATAACGCTTGGTTTCTTTCTGTAACACGTTAATTCACAAAGATTAATCATATATTTTGTCGCTAATGTAATAGGCTTAGTAAAGCCATTTAATCGATATGTTGTTCATTACAGCTTCTTATATTCTTGATTTTGACCGTAGACGTACGCTTAAAAGGCTAGACTTCACATTTCAATAGTAGTTGTTTTTTTTGCTCAATATCTGTAATATTACTATCATGCCACATACAGTTATGTGACTGTGCATACTGAGCAGTTATTGACATACATTTTAATAATAAATAGTAGCGATTTATGCTTTAATTTGTGATTTCCGGTGACTTAATAGAATAAGTGTTAGGATTGAACCGTGGTGTGTAATAATGGTCTATCAATACTTCATATAAGGGAAGTCTGTGTGCTACTTCCTTCTACAGTCTCTTAAATATGGGAATCACATGACGCTGCTGAACACAGTTATTCATCGCTGCCATGAAATTGCGGATATTTCACAGAGCGCACATTTGTAGTTGTTTGCGCAAAGGAAGGGCAAAAATAGGACATCACATGCTTTGCTCTCTCACAGCCAGTCTGGAGACATTACTACTTTGTACTACTTGTGTTTACCAAGTTTAGTGTCTTAGTGAGTTAGTGGTGAACAAAGATTTCTGCTAAAACTACGTTTGCACAGGTAATCATTCTTTAATTCAATCTGTAGTAAAAATGTGTATGGATTTTTGAGGAATTCCTCTTGGTAAGATTTTTTAGATGCCAGTACTAGAAGGATAAAGCACAAATTGTCTGTGGTGGAATGTAACTAATTAAAAGTACTAAAGTATTGTAATTAAGTGTAAATTTTAGTTATCTGTACTTTTCTTAAGTAGATTTAAAAGTGAATACTTTTTACTTTTTCTTTGCTACATTTGAGAGTAGGTATCTCTACTTTATACGCCACTACATTTTTAATTGGACTGAAAAGTAAGTGTGGGATAGTGTGAGACCTACAGATTTATTCACTTGTTTCTACTGAACAAAATTAAACAAAATCATTGCATTTGAAGCTTTAATAGATCTCAGAATTTGCATGAAATACTTTTCTTTTTTCTTTTTAAGTACGTTTTTAAACTGGTTCTTTAATACATTTACTTAGTACCTCTTCCACCACTGCAAACTGTTACACTTTGTTGTCCAACTGTGGCAAAGGTTTAAAAAATAATATGTAATAATACTGAGCCACCTTATTCAAAAACTGTTTGTAATCTGTATTTTATTTTGTTCATTATTTTAATATTTTAATCTCTATATCTCTAGGTGTCCCATGTGGACTGAGTGACATGCCATGTTAGCCACGCAGATGCCAGAGACACTGCCCGATCCTAAAGATGTTAAACAGGTAAAACAACTCTTCATTTACCGGCAGGGACCTTACTTTTGCTTTCCGATCATGACTTAACTAGAACGCTTATATGAGCAATACAACGGCACAGTTGTATTTATTCCTAGTTTTCTTAAAGGCAACTTTTTAGTTGGGGGTCCATCACCTGCTTGTTTTTATAGATATCTCATTGCTTTGCCTGGAATGTTCCACAATATGACAAGGAGCTGTACCTTTCATTTATTCATTTATTCATTTACAGGTGGTTTTACTGCTCAAAAATACCTATAGAAATAGGCATTCTGAGTGTGAGCTGGGTTGCCTCTCCACAGATCTGACCTGTAACTTGGTCTGGTTTGGTCTCCGCGAAGATACAAATGTTTAATACCATATTGTCAAACATTCCAGACACAGTAATTACATTTCCTTGAAGATGTAATGCCACACATATTTTTATTAGCTCACAGCTTCTAAGAGTGAAATCACTTCTGAACTGTCTTTTTTCATGGTCTAAGATACCATGATTAATAATTAATATGGGACAGTTACTGTTACAATATTGTCCACGCAATAAGAGTTTACAGCACTACGATGTTACTTATTCAATTTACTAGTTAGATATTATTCAAGTACCAAGATTTAAGGTCAAATAAGTAGGCTTTATATTCAGTTGCAGCTAAATATTTCTTGATAAAGAGGTCAGTTCTCTATTTAAATGTGTATTGTGTAATTTTCCTAGTTGAGGCTCTGTCAAATGCTTGTCTCCATGGAGATGTTATTGCTTTGTCTGTAATGTTTCACAGTATGGTGTTAAACCTTTCTAAACCTGGAAAACCAACCCCACTCACACTCAGAATACCTGTTTTTAAGTGTTTTTGAGCTATAAAACCTGTAATTTAATACAAGTAAAATTGAGCTGTTTAATGTCATACTATGGAATATTCCAGGCAGAGCAATGACATATCCATGGAAACAAGCAGATCACGGATCCCCAACCAAAAGTTTACATGGTGCAACTTTAAAAAGCTAAAACGTTGTGCAAAAGTAACCAACTCGGCAGTCTCTTTCTAATTCTGGCTTCACAAGACAGGAATTTTACAAGTGTGCTTGACTGGGACACTGATTCTGCTTAGTCAGTGAAGTCAAGGAAACTACTTGTACACTGACTTTTTTTACTCAGTCAGATGACATAGGTGTTCTGCTTTGTTACATAATCTTCTATGCATGTTTTGTAACTGTAAATCGCAACATACTACAGGAATACTGACTCACTTCCCCATATTTACTCTTGATGACATTGTAAACCTTTCCTAATAATGTATTGATTTTTCCTTGAAGACTTCCTTGTTTGCTAATAAGAGAAGCATAATCTCATCCACTCACATAGAGGATAAAGATATTGATTACTGATTGGATTAACAGAACATGCTTTGATTGGATAATACCTAAAACAGTTAGAAAACCATGTGTAGCTTGTGGCTTGGCATATGACACCATAACCATTATCAACATGTATCTGTAATTAAAATTTGTATAACTTTTCTGGTGGAGGGTTTTCCTCAAGGAGATGTTATTGCTTTGTCTGGAATGTTTTACAATATGGCATTAAACCTATCTATCTTTTTTTTTTAGCTATAAAACCACATGTAACTGAATAAATGTAAGGCAGAGCTGCTTAATGTCATACTGTGGAATATTCAGAGCAGTGGTATATTTATAGAAAAAAGCAGGTGATGGACCCCCAACCAAAAAGTTACATAGTGCACCTTTAATTCTCCTCTTAGTGGTACCCAACAAATATTTTTACAGTCAATAATAAATCCGAATCGTATTCATTTTCCTTGTTTTAGGTCACAGTTTTGTCTCATTTAATCAAGTTTTGTCTTTCTTAGACTTTTTTGATTAACAGATCTCACTCACTTTCTCTCTAGTAAATGTGTTGTAATTGGAGCTTTAATTTCCTTGTTTTCTTTTGCTGTAGATTAAAGACAGGTTGGTCCAGTCGCTCAAGGCTCTTCAAAAACGCTATGTGACATCGGACGCGGTGGTCACGAGTGAAGATGGCGATGCAAACCTCCTCTGCTCTGCCCTGGAGGCTGTCTTTATCCACGGCATCAGGAGCAAATTCATCCGCTCCGAGAATGGGAACAGAGGCAGGAAGAAGGAGAAAGCACTCCCTCAACCCGCCTTCTGGAGCCTCCTGAAAACAGTTACACATCGGTATGTTCTTTTTATTTTTTTATTGTTAACTTTATTTATTGAATTTTTCAATTTAAGCTAAATATTATACAACAAAACAACTGTGACAAGTTTACTGTTGGTGCCAAATAACCATTGAAATACACCGTAACCATCACCTGACATACATATAACAAAAAGTAAACATACATTTCCACATGACTTGCATAACAAAAAAATAAGTAAAACAGTACATAAATTAAAAACACACACTCACACATAAAAAGATTTGCACAACATAAATGACACACCAGTATGTTCAAGACAAAGATGTTTTAAATTTAAGTCTGAGAATTAAAGGTTCACTATGTAACTTTTCTGGTCTTCATATGTGTCTGTGAAGGGCTCATATTACACTGTTTTCTGATCTATGTTATAATGTTGTTTCCTCATCACAAACATACCTGGATTTGTGTTTTGTTTCATTCACACAAAGCCCTATCCTTTTCTCAAACTGAAAACACTCTGTTCCACCTTGTGATGTCACGTGGTAAAACAGGAAGTGTTCCACTGTGTTATTAAATTCCACACACCTTCATTAAATCATTTGGATAGTTTCAGCCGTGGAATTGCAAATCTCTCCTGAACTAAAGGTAGATTTTAACTTGAAAACTGCCACGACATGACATCACAAGGTGGAACTGAGCGTTTTGAGCTTTGGAGATGTAGTCGACTAAAAATAAAAAGTTATTCAAATGTGTGAATGAAATAAAGCACAACTCCAGGTATGTTTTTGATGAGGTAACAACATTATATCACGACTTAAAGCTCAGTTTTGTGAAAATAGGACCTTTTAAATTATGTTGATCTAATCTTAATGCCTTCCTTTCTCTAGTGACGTGATTACTGAACTGGAGAAACTCAACTTTGTGACAACAGAAGTGGGCCGCTGTCGTGCATGGCTAAGGCTAGCTCTCAACCATGGCTTGTTAGAATGCTATCTGCTGTCACTGTTCAGAGAGGAGTCCAAACTACAGGCCCACTACCAGCCCAACGCCCTGCTATTAAACCCAGAGGAGAGAGAGGTACTTCTTAGCTACCTCCAAGGGCTTTCCTCCCTTACATTTGATCTCTCTTATAAATCTGCTGTCCTGAAAGAGTGGACCACAACCCCTTTAGCCTTAGCTGGACTCTGCCCCATGTCCCATCTCGACGCACTTCAAGTCAACGGAGACACAACAGTTAAAAGGAACATTAGTGAAAGTTGGGATACAACCTCGCAGACATCCAGTTCTTCAGATGCGTTGGATTTGACAAAGGAGGGTTCGGTTTTGCACGCAGGACGGGGGGAAAATGGCGGAACGGATCTCACCTCGTCAAATCTGAGTCTAAACACCAGCGGGTCGTCTCAGCTCTCGTCCAGTCTGAGCTCTGACAGTTTGCTCCAGGGACAGGAGTTTAGGAGTCCAGCCGCCGAACAGTCCTCCACCAGTGACCTAGATGTGTCTGGCACTGTCAGCTCCAAAACACCAGCAAAAGAGTAAGTGGTTTAAGTTTCAAGTTTTGTGTTTTTGTTGGACTATTGTTGAATTATTTCTCAGGTTGAAATTGTGTTATATTGCAATCAAGTGGCAAACAAATTGGTAGTTTTGAGTATTTTGTAGTTCTTACAATTAAGAGTGGGTGATATGCCAAAAAATGAATACCACACATTTCTTTGAGGCAGATCACTATTTATATTTTATCATGATTCGTGCAGATTATAGACCGTATAAACGGACATAGCCAAACCACCAGCCACCGCGTTACAAATAGGAAGTAAACATGGGCATGGTTTTGACTCTATCATCAACTCTGGTTCCAATTCACTTTTATTTAGTCTGGAAATTAATTCGAATTCCTCATATTTTACTGGCTCCAAATTCATTCCTATAACAGCAGGCTTGTGTGAGCTTCATTTGACTGGAGCCGAATGCTGTGGGTGACGTCCCTTAGTCCACTTCTTTATACAGTCTGGTCAGGTGTAGATCTAGAATAGCCTAAGAGGTAACTAAAGTCATCTGCTTCTTCTGAAAGTTCACACTTCATTACAGTTTTAAATCAATCTTCTTGTCTTGCTGATTTTGACCAATAAGACGTGAGTTGGAAAAATGTCTGAACAGACAGCTGAGAAAATTTGTGAATGCTGAATAGCAAAATAACAAACACCGGAACTATATAGCGACTTCACCTGAATAATCACCATTATAAATTAACAAAATTTTAATATCCTTATTTTAAACTGAGCAATAACAAAGGCCAGCTATCATCAGCTGTCACACAGCAGCTGTTAGCTTCCCCTATTCTTCTTGCAATTTAATATTTTGGCCTTGTTTTCCAACATATCCTTTGTATTTCCACAAAGGTACTTCTGTATAATATGCATAGTTTACCATATCAGCCTCCATTGTTTATATACAATGTAAGTGGATGTTATGTTAGCAAAAGACAGTAACATAATCTATGAAAATTCTATGGACCGTGACCAAGTAGGGGAGAGTCTTAGTATTTTTTTTAAAGATAAAATAACTTTTTTTGTACCACATAGGGGAAAGTACCTAAAAATAATGCAATGAATATATATGGTATGTTATATTTTTTCCAAGAATTCATAATTTTGTGGTGTGAGTATCATTTAAATCCTTTTTGATCATTTGCTTTATACATTCTATATCATTTCTTCTTTCTCTTTCTTTGTTCTGTCCCTCTAGTTTGTCTAAAACCCAGGATTACTTCAGTCAGGACTCGATGCGTGAGGACTCCTTCGTCTCCAGCCCGGGTCTGGACCAGCTCTCTGAAAACGCTATTTTGAGCAGCTCTGACAGTGAAACCCAAGAAATGCCAATCCAAAGCGAGACCACCCAAGAGGCCACCCTTACCGCACCTTCACCTGCACCTTCACCTGCACCTTCACCTGCACCTTCACCTGCACCTTCACCTGCACCTTCACCTGCACCTTCACCTGCACCTTCACTTGCATCTGCACCTTCACCTGCACCTCCACCTGCACCTTCTCCTTCACCCCCTGAGCAAACACTCATTCAAGAAGAGACTCAAGAAGATAAACCCCCTTCTATTGACTCTAACCAAAACGCTGAACTCGATTTGGACCCTGACACACCTGAAGAAGTCAAATCCAGTGATGAAGAGGAGAAGTCAGAGCCTGCCTCAAACGAAGAAGACGGTTTAAACATGAGAAAAGACAGTTCTGAAGACAAATCTGAACCAGTGATCAAACCGGAAGCCCGCCGCTCTGACAGCGTCCTCAGCAGACAGCCCTCAGAGTCACTATCAGTAAGTCACGAGTCTTTATACATAAACTGTTTGTGGTTAAGTGAATTGTACTGTATTTGAGATTTGAGTTCAGTGACTATATTAATACAGTATCTGAGTTAAAAGGGTTTATTGGACAGGGTACTATAAAAACATTCAGTCATTTATTTAAAAATTTTAAAGGTGCACTGTAACTTTTTTATTATATATGAGTGGAAAAATTTGATTAAATGATTAGATTAAAAGAAAAAAAAATGTATAGGACATATTCACGGGTAAAAAGGGTTGAGAGAAAATGACAACCACTGTTTAGGGCATGGAATTTGAGTCTTTTTTGATAGTAGCAGATTCAAAACTAAGTAATCTTATAGTTGGAAATATTATATGTTTGCAAGTATCTTTTAGCTTCAGGTATCAATTACTGTAACATTTAGTTTTAATGCTGATTAGGTTTTGCTAAGTCATGCTTCTTGGAGTAAAATCACTTTCAACTTCAACAACTTTCATTCATGAGTTACATCTTGTGACTTAACTGAATTAGTGCAGAGTAAACTGAAAAACTCAAGTAAGATACAAACGGCAAGTGAAAAAAGGAAGTCACTGCACTATTTTCTAGTCACACGTATCGAAATATTTAAATGTGCTATTAAAAACCAGTTACATTAAGAAAATGAGGAAGTTTCTCTTTTGAATTTGCAGCATTCTCGTTCGTGGATCTCAGATGACGATATTTACAAACCGACTCTGGAGGAAGTCCCAGATCTGAACCAAGACGAGACTTCAGTCCAGAGTCCAAACCCACCAGAATCCTACGGCCCCCAATCCACGCCCCCTCCCAGTGTCGTGCATCGCAGAAAAACTGGTAACCAATTTCTCCTTTAGCTAAACAGTCTACTTATGTGTATTAGATTCAAGGGTTTATTATAGAAAGTCTGACAAAAAAGGTTGATCAGCAACTTATCCTGCCTCTACACTGTGAATCAACCAGTTTAATTTGTAATTTAATAAAGTTTTTTTGTTTAATATTTTATTTATTTGAATCCCATTAGCAGAAACCAGTGCAATCAGTGAGACTTACTGGGTCCACTGAAATATAAAATCTCAATTTCAACATTGTACATTAAACACAAATATACATTCACTGTTTTGATTGATTTTTAACTACTACTACTGACTATAAAATAACATTTCTTTAAAAAAAACAATACTACATATAGATTTAGATGTATTTATTTAAAGGGACAAATATCAATGAACATATATGTCATAATGAGCCCAATGGCCATTTTCCATCTGTAATTCCGGTATATAGTGTAAAGTTATTCAAGGTCAAAATTAAAGGTATATCTGTGTTTTGAGATTGTGTGGTACATTGTGTCTATACTTAGATAATGAGTTAATCTTTTATCTTGATAGCACAATATTTGGATGTTCAAGATGACAGCTGATTAAAGGCAAATTTAGTCCATAAAGTAAATGAATGCTGGTCCATGTAAATGATTCACTTGGTGGCATCTATAGTGCAGTGTTTTGTCTCAGTGACTAAAAGGTAAACACTGGTCACACACTGCACACCTGTTACAGCCTGAGAGAGTTTTTTGTCATTCATAAAGTACTTAAAGGGTCATGACCATTGTTATTTACTTAAATTCCTGTACCGTTTGTGTTTAGAAAGTTGAAAGCATGCATCTCATCTATCATTGTCTTGCTCAGGAATTTCCAATCCTTTCCGTGGGCTGTTGAAGCTCGGACACCTGGAGCGGCGTCATGCCATGGGAATGTGGCGTGACTACTACTGTGAGCTCTCTCCCTTTGAGTTCAGACTTTACCTGAACACCGAGGAGCGTACCTGTGCAGAGAACTGTTCACTGGTGCGCTGTGACGATGCCCGCCTCTCTTCCTCAGACGGGCGCTTCGAGCTCTCGTTTTCAGGAAAGAGGCTGTACTTGCGCGCGGCGGATCGTGGAGAGGCCGAGGACTGGCTGGACCGGATCCAGGAGGCGGTGCATAAGTGCAGACCAGCACCCCGTGTGGAGGAGCCCTGGGAGGTGCTGCAGTACCCCCCTGCGACCTCAGCGCCCTCCAGTCCAGACCTGGGAGGGTCCTCTTCAGACTCGGGCATCAGTGAAGAGGCTCCTGCTTCTAAAGTATTCGACTGGACGCGGCCATGTGACGTGGAGAGCGACGCCATCAAAGAGTCTGTGCTGTACTGCTGCACTGACCCTGAGGCGCGCTACTGGGCTCCTCTGGTCTTCTCTCTGTCTTTGGAGGCCCTCAAAGGCTTTAAGCTGCAGGAGAGCAGGAAGCAACTCCGGATAAACCATCCCATTCAGGACATTAGGGACGTAGTGCCGGACGTGTCGATGGGAGGAGCAGAGTTTTTCAAACTGCTGACGGTGAGAGAGACCCTCAGGCTGAGAGCGGAGAACTCCAAAGAGGCACGCTCCTGGAGGGACTTGGTGCGTGGAGCTTTGGACTCGTATCTGGAGAGTGGAGAGGACATGACCACAGAGGAGCCCATCGTCACTCCATCAGGGATTAATGGAAACCTCCACAGACTGGTGCAGCACAGGCTCAAGGAGGATGCCACTCTGTTATCTCACCTGTGCACTGTGCCTACGGAGAAGGGACTGGACTCTCAGAGTTTCAAATGTGCAGGTACTTTTATTCTGAGGCTCCTTATATAGAGGTCTCTTTAGGATCTGCGTTTAACTTTTGACCTTTCTGTGTGTGGGGTCCAGGATGTCCGCGTCAGATTGGTCCGTCGCGCAGTAGAGCTCGGCTGTGTGAGTTCACAGGGCAGTACTACTGTGACTCCTGCCATGTGGGAGACACCAGCATCATCCCCTCTCGTATGGTGCACAACTGGGACCTGGTGGAGAGAGAGGTGAGTCTGACTCCTACACACCTTTAATAGAGTCAGAAGACAACACAGCATTTTAAAATCTTGTTGTCACTAATTAAGATGGTCTTAAGATGTCTTATAAATGTTAATTAATTTGTGGTTGAGCAAATTTAACTATTAAGTACAGTTGTTTTTTTGTTTATGGATCAGTCTAAGGCTACATTTATATGATGACAGTCTGAACAGAGGACACAAGGCATCCGGTCTACACTTTTTATTCCGCGTTTAGAAAAGTGTTTTCAGGAGGAAATCTGTTTTTACTCACAAGTGTTCTTATGTAAACAGGCCCTAAATGTCTTATTTAATATTTGTCTCTTCCAAAACTAAATAAAAGTTGCTTTCAGTATTGATTTCCTGAATATTAACAATGTAGGCTTTTTATCAGTCCTATTTAACAAAAATAAATCTTTCTCCAAGGTGGTCCAAATGATCAAATCTTAATCTCATGTCAATTTAATTAATAGCGTAGTTTAAGTTTAAAAGTTTATCATTATTATATTATCACATTGTACAACCTGCTAGTGAAGTTTAAATGTATGTAATATGTGAAACAATGTACTTATCTCTTTTATGTTTTTTTTTATGTATAGGTGTCAAAGAAGGCGCTGCATCTGTTGGCAGAGGTGCAGCATGAACCTCTGTTGAACCTGGATCAGCTGAACCCAGACCTGGTTTCTCACTCAGAGTCCATGACCCAAATCCACAAACTCAGACAAAAACTCCGGCTCTTAGGTGACTACCTGCTCACCTGTCGCAGCAATGCATGGAAGAAATTACAAGCCAGGTTGGTCAAGAGATATTACTGAGTATTCTCCTTTTTTCTATTCTTACATATCAAAAACTCTCCAAAAGAAAACAAAAAACATTAAATAAAAAACAGAAAAAAAGACACTGCTACACATTTAGGCATTTAGAATAAGAGAGATTTTACAAGTTCATAATTAAAAAGTTCACTACTAGTAAATGTCTAAATCTTGTAAATCCTTTGTGTTAATACCCCCAGAATGGGACAGAGGCCTTACCTTTTGGAGTCCAGTCAGCTGTACAGCATCATGGATCTACGACAGGTATCCATCACATTTAACTATTCATATTATTGTATTGTAACTTTCTAAAGGTGCACTATGTAACTTTTTGGGTGAGGGGCTCACTACCGGTTTGGCTCCATGGAGATGTTACTCCTTTGCCAGAATTGGTTCACAGTATGATATTTAAGTTACTGTATCTATCTCCATGCAAACAAGTGGATGAAGCCACCACGTCAAGATCTGTGGGAGTGCCACACCACACCCTGTATGAATCAAAAGTTTTTCATGGCATTTTTGAGCAGTGAAGACACCTGTATGAAGTATGTTATTTATGATGGAAACATTTAATGCAATACTGTGGAGCAATATCCTCTTGATCGTCATATAAGTGGTGAATTGTCCCCCCGAAATGTCACAAAGTGCACATTTAATAAGTAAAATTATTGTACCGTGACCTGTTAACTGAACTGTTCAACCTATATTTGATGTTGTCTTTTGCAGATAGCAGAGGGACAGTACCCTGTATACTTGATCACACTGGTGCAACTCGCGTCTAACCATGTTTTCCAGTGTGACCTTTGCACTCAGAGAGGTTTTATCTGCCAAACATGTCACTCTAATGAAATCATCTTCCCTTTCCAGTTTGACAGCACCACTCGGTATGTTAACCAGCAAATCCACTAAGTAATGTTCATATTATTTTATTATTAAATTTATCTATGTTTTCCTTCAAAACAGGTGTAAAGATTGCAAAGCCGTGTTCCATCTTCAGTGTAGATCAACTGGCGATCCATGTCCGAGATGTTTGCGATTTAAAAAATACCAAGAAAGGGACATGCGAGACTGAGTAGCATGCAGTACCTCACATGTTTCACTAGAGGGCAGACTTTTCCAAGATAAAAAAAAAACTAAACAGATAGTTATTACATTGAACCTCAAGTGCAATTATGAAAACAACTTGTCTAAAGTAGGAATTGATGGAGAGTTTAATCCAAAGCCTTGTTAACAGCTGTGATACCAGCAAAACACAGCCAATGTTACTGATACCTCTGCCTTCAGTTTTGCCTCAACATCAAACGAAGGGCCAGACATAAATGAAGGATGTTGCCAAGAATTTACCCTTATTATTATTATTTTTTTTTTACAAAGTTGAATTTTTTGTGTTTAATCAGATTGTTAGCAAAAAGATGATACTGTACATATACACTAATGAAGCACAGCATTATGACACTGAATATTTTGATTAACTTTTTATGGCAGAATGTAAAAAAATGTTAGAAAAGTAGTTAAATATTGTCAGAGAAGTGCTTGAAATTTGCAAGAGTAAGGAACTGAGACCAAATTGTGTTGGTTGGACTGGATCAGAGCACCTTTTGTGGGTTGTGCTCAGTATTGAAAGGTTAGTGCAAATATGTAGTTTGGTCTGATCGTGTTGCTCTGGTTGCCATGGTGATGTGTTATCATCTGTAGCTATAAACAGGCCAAAAATGTTGTATTTTTGACTGTTTATGTTTTGTTTTATGGTGTAAGCTGAGATAAGGCTAAGGTGACAAATTCATTTTTTAAAACTTACTTCTGCTAACATGTTAACTAACCCAAAGCATTTTCCTAACCGTAACAAAAAAAAGTCTGTTGAACAAACATTTTATAGTGAAGACGTTTCACCGCTCATCCAAGTGGCTTCACTCTAAACCAGGGGTGTCCAAACTTCTTTAATCAAGGGCCACATTTCAAGATCCAGATGAAGAGAATGGCCAGTCCAGGGCCATAGACTGATGGTCAGTACAGTGAATCATTTAAATTTGTGCATTTCTAACAGGTTAGAATGAGCCACCAAACCTTTATTTATGCTCAGATCATTAATAGGACACAGAATATTTAAGAATGGCTTTATCAAATAACTTAATGTAATATGGGCCAATTCACCTAGAAACCTGAGGTCCAAGAAAAAATGGTCTGAGGGCCACAGTTTGGACGTGCCTGTTCTAAACCTTTTGTCCAATTGACAGAATTCAGTTTTTCTTTTGCCACGTATCATAGCTGGAAGACTTAGGGTCAGGATGTCTGTGTAATCCCTAACTATTTAACTGTCTTCCTCAACTTAGCATCTTGTTCCTAAGCCAACATTAACAACTTGACTTAAAATTAACCATAACCTGTTTTGTAACCTTAAAAAAATAACCCTATTCTTAAATGTGATCACTTTGACCAGTCACAGCAGACCGTCCCTACCATCCCTACATCCGATCATTAACTGTTTTGAAAGAGATACCAGACGATAGGAACTGCGGTGAACCAATGAAACGAAACTGTGCAAACTGAGCTCGCTTAATAAGTTATCATGTTTTTTACAAGAAGTTGCCAGAATTCAGTTTTGAATATTTGGCATGAAGTCATAATGTTGTGCCTGATTGGTGTATGTCTAAAATGCATTATTATAGTATTTAAATGTATATTCACAGGTGTAATTTGGACAAAATGATAAAGGCACTAGGGTTGTCCAGATTACAGATTTTGACTGTGCCTTCTTTGTTTAGCTTTACTTTATTTTTGTTTTTACTTCCAATGTTGTCATGGAAGAGTAGCATTATCATAATTATGAGTCTGATTGCTCATTTACTGTCTGTAAAAATGGAGAACCCAATTTAAAATAACACAATGATGGAAAACACTGATGCTGCTTTTATTCAACAATGATTCATTTTATAACACAAACTTAAAATCAAAACATTTAAGGACCTTTTTTTTCTTTGCAAGTTTGCACATAGCGATGACTGTTAAAATGTTATGAATCTCAACTAAAATAGATTTGTAATACATTTTAGCACACTTTCTGTACATATGCAGTTTTATCACGTAAAGGTGCACTGTGTAACATTTCTGGTGGAGGGTTTGCTATGTGCTATGTTATTGTGTTGTCTAGAATGTTCTACAGTGTTCATATTGTCAGATCAGTGGAGAGTGGTCACTGTTCACAGAAGGAATTATTGTATTTTTGAGCAATAGAAACGGACGGATAAATGCTGGATGGATATGTTTAAAGTCATTCCATGGAGCATTCTAGGCAAAGCAATAACATCTCCATGGAGAAAAGTAGGGAGCTTTTAATTACTTTTCCTCCAGAAAAGTTGCACAGTGCACCTTTAATGTCTGAGTAATGTAGCACTGATTTTATTTACATTTATGGAATACATAACGAACAAGCAGGTTTACTCATTGGGTGCATTCATTCGTCACTTTAAGTTTGTCATTTGTGACAACTGGTGGCTACTCTGCAAAGCTGTTGACGTGGATTGATTTGATGTATTTTTTATGTGTAAATATAAAATAAATATTAATAATAACTTATCTTCTTATTAATCTCTCTTTAATGATTATGATTATTTAATGATAGGGCCTATACAACACTTTTTTCTGAACTATGTTATAATGTTTCCTTATCAAAACAAGTCCAAGTTGTTTTGTTTCATTCACACATTTTTAACAAATGAGTCGATTTTGCTTAGTTTAGCAGAAGTGGGACCGAGTCGTTGTTTTGCAAGTCTCAAGTGAGTCTCAAGTCTTTGACCTCAAGTCCGAGTCAAGTCCCAAGTCAAATACAGGCAAGTCCAAGTTGAGTCTCAAGTCACTGGCCCATAAGTCCAAGTCAAGTCCAAGTCATCTACATAAAGCTTCAAGTCATTTCAAGTCTTTAAACCAAAGTACCAAATACAGCTTAGATTTTTGCGACTTAAACTTGTTCTTAAAAATCATAGTATATTTATATATGAGTATTTATAGGTTATATAAGCGATGTAGAAATGCAATTTTTTTCCTTTTTAAATGTCTTGACAAGGTCTTTATTCATCATCTTCATTACAGTCAGAATGGAAAGAATTCAGATTTAAAAGTGCTTCTCAAGTCCAAGTCGAGTCCCAAGTCCATTTTATCAAGTCAAGTCTCAAGTCCTAAAAATAGTGACTCAAGTCTGACTCGAGTTGGTTTACAGTCCCTTCTCTTGCCATATCCTAACCCTAATAACCCTCCATAGAATATCTGAGGGAGAAAAACTATTATATCTGCAATTTTGGCTTACAACTTCTACTTCTGCATCATCTTTAAAGTAGAAAAGCTGTGTATGTTTTACTTTATGCTTGTCTTAATGTGATTGGACGGAAGCCCGCAGGTGTCATCGATCAGATTAATGATGATGTAATTGTTTGTCTAAAGTGAGTCTGCTGTTAGCATCGCCACTGCAACACCTGACATCGATCAGCGAACACGCACTGGCGACTTTAGGCAAACTTTTACCAACTTGTACGCGGAATTAGTTTCGTATTTGAGGTTAAATGAGTTTAGACATTCAGCAGGTGTGTCCGATATGCTAAAGCGCATTGTTGTTTAGATTTGCAAGGATGAATAACAACAGAGGATAAGCAGATGGGAGGAGTGTAGCCTGTAAAACGCGTTCCGCAAGCAGCCAAAGCCACAATACGGAGTTTCTGGAGCCGCGTATCCATTCGTGTATCCAGTCACCCTGCCCCGGAGCACCACAATTCATACCTCCACTCCCTTCCTACCCAAGTCTTTTAAATACTTTTAATCGTTTCGGGGTTGAGAGACGCGGCACGACCAGGGAGGCAGCAGGTACGGTACAGGCGGATGTCTGTGAGCGTTCGCGGTGATGGATGGCGCGTTTGACGGTCAGATGAGCCTCAGGAGCCGGCTGGAGAGGAGCAGTCACACGGCTTTCATAGATGACGGCGTTCTTTATGTTTGGGGAGGATACCAGGTAAAGTAATCTGAATGTGAAAATATTATTGAAACGCTCTACTGATGAAATAGAACGAGATGGACCGTGCGTAATTTCACATTCGTCTGTCTGTGCGCAAAGTTGGCATCTCGGTTAAAGTTGAGTCTAGTTTGTGCAGTTTTGTCTTTCAGGGAATTCCTCGCGCTAATTATAGGATACCTAACACTTAAGGAGGGCCACTGAGCAAAAAATGACAAAAGCAGGAAGTTTCTACCTTTGCACATCCTTGACTAGAATGTGGAAATGGCAAATGGCAAATATCAAAGAGTGCTTTAAATGCTTTTCAAAGACACAATTTTTGTGAATTTTCTTTATTTTTATTGAGTACATATTGAAGCACTAGGAAAAAGGTAGGCTATGTCTCCAATAGTGGAAGTAGTAGTAAGGTCAAGTGGGTCAAATTGTATTTTTTATTTTTTTTCTGATGTTTTGTCTTTGTCTCAGCAGATGGCTGATGGAGAAGATGCGGTGTTGCCCAGTGATGAGATATGGCTCTTTGATTTGTACAGTGGCATATGGTAAAGTCTAATGTCATTTTTGCTTTCAGTCGATGTTTTCAATAGTTTTTACAATGGCTGCTTCTTCTTTTTCTTTAAAACATTGAAATTTATTGTTATGTACTATTTTTTTTTTTTTTTTTTTTTGACAGGGAGCAGAGAGAGCTGACGGGAGATGTTCCACCTGACCTAAATGGTTTCTGTGGCTCCTATTTGAACGGGACGCTGTACATTTTTGCAGGATCTGATGGCGGGGGCTACACAAACGATGTGAGTTTCTGCTTTAAAGTTATTTATTATTATTTTACTTATTTTTTGTAAAGGAGTGGCTACAATTTGAGCATATTAATGGCTGAAGTTCAGTTGGCACAGTGCGTGTCCACTGATCCAAAGACTGTGATTTTCAAATCCTTCTCCTGACATTAGGAAAGTTGTGGTTGGTGTATCCCAGTTCCCACAAGTGTATGCTGTTGTTGTGTCCTTAGGCAAGACACTTAATCTGCCAGTCTGCGGTTTCTGTGGACACTGTGGTTTTCTATCACGAGGGAGATGAGCTATGCCACGTTATAATTCAGATGTGTGGAGAGTTCCCCTATTCAGAGAAGGAACTACTGTATTTTTGAGTAATGGCAATGAATATATGCCAACTGTATATGTGTAATGTCACATCATGGAACATTTCAAGGAAAGCAATAATATCTCCATGGAGACAAGTAGGTAGCGGACCCTCCACCAGTGAAGTACACCTTTTTAAATCTGTTTTATGTTTTCATGAGTATTCATACTATATTACATGCATTCTGCCCATAGAGATGCATGTAGAACACAGCCAGCATGATGTCACTGCAAAATGTCAGTCATGGTGAAGTGTACCATTAATATTTGACAAATATAGATTTATGTCCAGGAAACATACTGCTTTTCTTATTTGCTTTGTTCACCAGTTGTACCATTCACTGCTACACATCTTTAAAGCATAATACATTTGTTTTGTGGCTATTTTTGTACTAGTAAATTGTAGCAGTAAAAAGGCCCTGAATTCCAAGAAAATATGTGGTTTTTCCAAGTACTACCAGAACTAAATTGAGCACATAACAGGACTTCCAGGTCTCATCTAGGGTTAAACGAGGTCTGGAAATGGACTACATAATATCCTGTGTAGTTCTAAACAAAAAATTATGTTGATAAAATAACCTCTAAATTAGGCAAACTCACAGTTTAAGAAACACTGAATACTTAAAGGACCAATGTTGCCCTATTTTCTGATCTGTTACAATGTTGTTTCCTCATCACAAACAGACTTGGAGTTGTCTTTTTTCTTTCACACATTTTGAGCTTTTGAGACTAATAATTCAGGGTGAATGAAACAAAACACCAAGTATATTTTTGATGAGGTGACAACATCAAAACATGACTTAAAGTTCACCAGACTAAATATTGTGCAATATGTTTTAACAAGTTCAGCAAAAACGACTCCAGCCTCCCTTACATACCTTGCGCGTGCCGTGTGAGTTCATCTAAAGTGGGACATCTCTGTATGGTGGTTTCTTGTTATCTCTGATATGAGAAAGTGTCACAGGCAGAACTTGCTGTAACTTGACTCATGTGTTTTAGATACAGATGGAACAGCGTGTTTCTATGGGTGTGCTTTTTAAAATACTATGGTTAAAGAAGAAAGAAGGCAGGAATGTTAAAGGTGAACTCAAGTTTGCGCCTTGGGCAGTTGTTTTTTATGTAGAAACTTGTTAGAACATTATTGTTGTAGATGGTCAAAAATTACTAGAAAAATTGTTTGACAAGTTTGTCATTTTATAGCACATTGTCGTGACTAGATCCTTTCTGTTAATAATATACAGTAGGTTCTCAGTAAATATTACCTTGGTATTAAAAATACATTTTATTTGCCTAAAGGCTCAAAACTTCAAACATGATGGCAGTCAACATTTCTGTCTGAGACAGATTTATTCGTTGACAGTTGCAGAGCAAATATTAGAATTTTTCTGTTCATTACAAAAGCATTTGCTTGTGGTAAGAAGAATCCTTTGTTATCCTCAAATCTAAAAGCACTAGTTTTAAACATTTGCACTTATGCAGCTCCATTAAGACAAATATGTGACACCACCAGGCCAAGTCACAGGTCAGACCTGTGGAGAAGGAGCCTACTCACAGCACAGATACATGCTTTTCAAACTATTTCTGAGCAATAAAAAAATGCCAATAATTGAATCAGAGAGAAAAATGACTAATGCCATACTGTGGAACATTCAAAACTATAACGTATCCATCAGACAAATTAATGGTACACTAGAAAAGTTACACATTTTACAAACTTTAACTATGGTCTTGGGGTTAAAATGAATGTTCTAATGTTATATTTTAAACCTCAAATATCGATCCACACGCCCCCCTCCCACCCCCTGTGCTCTGTTACTCATAGAGTTTAATGACGCTGATCTAATCCTTCTCTTTCTCCTTCCTCTATCCCTTTTGTAGATGTTTACACTGGACCTTCATAGTGACTGTTATGTTTGGAAAAAGCTAACTGACACCAATGGGAAGACGCCATCCCCACGAAACAAGCACTCCTGCTGGGTCTACAGGGACAGGTATGTGGTGAAAATTATAGTTCACTAATCTGGATTAATGCTGCTTTCAGGTGGTGTCAGAGAGATGGGAATCATGAAAGTGGTACAAATGTTATGATATGATGCTGCCTGTCTTCTATGGATAAACAGTTTGATCAGTCTCCGAAACAGTAGTTGATGTGTTTTTAAAGCGATAAGTATCAATTAGTGTCTATTTCAAATAAATTGTTATTGCCATTAAAGGTCCTATATTATGCAAAATGTACTCTTGTTAGCTTTAAACCACCATTGTGATGTAGTTACCTCACCAATACCTGGAGTTGTTTGGTTTCATTCACACATGTTTGACCAACCCTTTTATTATTATTAGTCTGTCTACATCTCCAAAGATCAAAATGTTGTATAGCGGAAAGTTTCGAGTTAACACCTACCTTTTTAGCCTTCGATCAGTAGACTGGCAATTCCAGAAATCCAAGTGACTTTAGTGAAGGTGTATGGAGTTTAAAACCACAGGGGAGAACTTCCTGTAGAACCGCATGACATCACAATGTGGAACAGAGTGTTTGAGAGAAGAATTCAACCTAAATATGCAGGGTAAACATGTGTGAATGAAACAAAACAAGTCCAGGTGAGTTTTTGATGAGGAAACAATATTATAACATGGATGAGATAATTAAGTAAAAAAAAAAAAAAAAAGCTTTTTTTTTTTTAAAGGTTAATTTACTTTGGTGGCTACGGATGCAAGACAGTTGGAGATGTACAAAACAGTTCACCATCAAGCTTCACTGTAGAAGAAATGTCATGGGTAAAAAAAACCAAAACAAAATCCTTCTGTAATATGTGTATTGGCTATAGAGTTTTTAATGGACATTACTGTAATTTTACTTTTGTCTTTAGACAACAATTGGAGGTACATTATTCAGGTGCTGGGGCTGGAACAATGAAGTGAATCTTTTTGATACTTTAACCTCAACTTGGAGCTTACCAGAAACAAGGGTGAGTAATATATGTATTTTCTGATCTTTTTAAAGGCCCATGTTCTGCAAATTTCTGGTCTGTTATAATCCTTCCTCATCAGAAACTTACCTGGGGGTGTTTTGTTTCATTCACACATGTTTACCCTGCATATTTATATAAGCCGAGTTCTCTCAAACAAAAATGTCCTGTGACAATACAGGAAGTGTTTCACTGTTTTTAAACTCCATATACCTTCATTACAATCATATGGATTATTTGAGATGTGGAATTGCCAATCTGAAAAACTAAACTGCCGCTTCATGACATCACAAGGTGGAACAGAGCAATCTGAGCTTTGGATATGTATAGACTAATAATAAAGTGTTACTCAAACATGTGTGAATGATACAAAACACAACTCCAGGTCTGTTTTTGATGAGATAACAGCATTCTAACTTGGCATAAAGCTCAAGTCAATTTAGCGTATTATAGCACTTTTTTAATTAAACCATATTTTGTCCTTTACTTGTCCAGGGTTCAGCTCCGGCGCCCAGAGGCTGCCACGCTGCTGCTATTTTAGGAAACAGAGGCTACATCACTGGTGGTGTGGTGAGTTCTGCTTATCCAAATATATTCAAACATGTTTACATAAAACACCTGGGCCACTCTCTCTAAGCAGAAATGGTTTGGCTGTAAATGTTGAACAGTTACACACAGTGACCATAAGGGCTGGATCAACTGTGGGAAGAGAACACAATGAATGCACTTCTAAAAACTAAACTAAACTAATGACTAAACGATGAATATTCCAAAGCCACACCTCAGAACATGTGGATTTCATAAATAAACCCCATAAATGAAAAATGTTATGGCATATTGAAGAAATATTTAACTATTTATATTTAAAGTGCTAGTATGTCACTTTCTGTATGATTCTATGGAAATGGAAAGTTAAAATCATATTTTTCCACTTATCTATTCTCCATGGAGATACCTTGGAATATTATAGCCAAAGAAACATCTCCATGGAAACGAGCTGGGTCAAAAATACTGTAACTGCATTGTGTAACATTTCGAGTGGAGGGTCCATCACGTGCTTTCTACCTACCATGAGGGAGACAAGCAGGTTACAGCACTACTCTACATTACAAATCAGATCTGTGGAGAGTCGCCTCTATTCATTAAAGGAATTACTGTACTGTATTTTTGAGCAATAGAAACACCCATAATAAATAAATGCTAGATGGATTTGTTTAATCTCATACCATGGAACATTCCAGGCAAAGCAATAACATCTCCATGGAGACGAGCAGGTGGCGGACCCTCCACCAGAAAAGTTGCTCAGTATATCTTTTAAAATATCTGCTGATATCAACTGATACCAGTGCAACATAATTGTTCATTGTTAATCTAATTAAAAAAAAAAATCATATTTTACTTTTTTCTCTTCCCCCTCCAGGAAAGTGCTCAATTAGACCTTTACTGTTTAGACCTAGACACCTGGACGTGGAGTTGTTTGTAAGTTTTTCCGTTTCACACAACAAAATTATAGCTTTATAAGCCTTTATATATAATTGACTCCTGGTAACCTTTATTTTTCAGGGTAAATTCAGGTTCTTCTGCACCAATGGGCCGCACTATGCACTCAATGACCGCTACACCAGATGGGACACTGTTTATTTATGGAGGTTTTGGGACTTATGGACCCACACTCAGTAAGTTTTAACTTTTTTTTTTTTCTGTAATTGTTCTAAAAATAAATAAATATTTCAAACATATTACAGAACAAAAGATGACAAGAAATGGTAGAGAGGCGTAACAATTAAAGGAACTGACACAGAAACGCACACACATTTGAACTTTTAAACTGTTATGCAAGTATAAACACAGACTTCCAATGTTGAGTCACAATTTCATTTTTAAATTTACCCTCCCCTGCACACGTTACACCATCTCTCATTCTCTCCTCCCACATGTTTAGTGTAGAAGGATCAGGGTCTGTTTTAACATTTTAACATACTGTATAGTCACATGATTATTGGAGATTAATATAAAGATCTGCAGAGACTTGCCTTTATTCACTTGTTTCAGCTGCCCTGTGTTATTTGTTTTGTATATATAAATAGACATGGCTAAACCCACTAGCTGCCACTTTCCAAACAGGAAGTGACCATGGGGGAGTTTCCAGCTCCATTGGCTTTGGCTCCAATTGACTTAACGTTGAAAAATTGTCACCCCTCTCTCTGTATCTGCTAGCCAGGCTGGCTCCACCTAGTGCTTCTGCTCAATTTAATTCCTCTCCAGCGACTAGGTCAGGAATCAGAATACACTGGACTATTTGCAAGAATCCTGGAAGTTGTAGACCAGACTAGAGCTGTGAAGCTGACTATTACTTCAACACTACTGAGTTCCGGCGTGTTACATACATCTTGACCAAATGGCAGCAATTGGTTAAATAAAAAAAAGCACCCGCCTACCATCAAGCGAATGGATTCTAATGCTGAGAGGTCAGGCAATTTCCACGAAGTGAAACCGGCTGATGAATCAGGCTGTGTGTCTGCTGCTTTTGGTCTTAAAATGTTTGTATTAACCCGCTCTACATGATCCTAGTGGTTTTTATTCCACTATTTTGTCCGTAAATTGCTATTCTGAATAAGGAACTGGCTCCAAATTTGTTCCTGACTGCCAGCCTCATGAGCTTCATTTGACTGGGGCCGAATGCTATAGGTGATGTCATAGTCCCTTGGTCCAGTTCTTTATACAATCTGGTTGAATATTTTTAATCTGTAAAGCACCTTGTGAGCTGATCTCAGTGAAAGGCACACTATATATAAATGTTACTTATGATGTGGACTTTGCCTGTTACAGATGATGCTTGGCAGTATAACTTGCACAGAAAAGAATGGATTCAAGTGGATCACCAACATAAAGACAAACCCAGGTACTGTTTCAATAATACATGAAATTGCATTAATCATTCACCCTGCACTGTGGTGGTAAAGTCATTCTGTAGCCTCACCTGCCCTGGGTATATTAGACAGAGGCTTTAACCTGTAAACATTTTTGACTGGAACTGGTCATGGCACACAGCGAGACATGTTTCAGACATTTTTTTTATTTTCGTCTCATCTAAGTGGAGGGAGATTAAAGATCAGGGAACATGAATTTTCTGAGCACTTAAGCCATGATTGAAACTATAGACAATAGGCTCTACTCATGCTTGGGTCACAAACGAGGAAAACGTTTGGAAACATGCAATGGTAACTTCCAGTGTAGTTACACGACAATGGGCTCGCCTGACATGGATCTATTAATTTTTGTGGCGTTGGACCACAGCGACTAAGGCCTTTATCATACATAGGCAGGTGGGTGAGGTGCAGACTGTTTTGTCCTCGGGCAAGACACGCATCTTTCTTTTTTTAGGTACTTTGTATTGAACTATATTTACATAGATCATTTTTACATTTTGTTAACCGGCTTTAACAGTCTGAAAATAGAAACTGATCCACTGACTTCCTGTTAAACTGCAGAACTGAGAGGCCCCAACACTTCATACCGGCATTTCACTGAGAAAGTGGCTATGTGACATGTTAGAGCCTAACATGTCTCACTCAGACTTCATTTTTTTTAATTTTCGTCTCATCTAAGTGGAGGGAGATTAAAGATCAGGGAACATGAATTTTCTGAGCACTTAAGCCATGATTGAAACTATAGACAATAGGCTCTACTCATGCTTGGGTCACAAACCAGGAAAACGTTTGGAAACATGCGATGGTAACTTCCGGTGTAGTTACACGACAATGGGCTCGCCTGACATGGATCTATTAAAACAGACTGTGATAAAACCCAATGAAGTAAATGTGATCAGCGTAAATGAAGACTGCATACATACGTGCTGTTTGGAATCATCTTGAATTTGGCCCCTCGTCTCTTCTAATCACATGTACCCAGTGTGATCGGAGTTCTGTCTCAGTGGGGAAATGATATAAACTGAGATAAGGTTGTAATTGTTGAATAGCTGAACATAACAGAACATTACAATGACATGGAGATGAAGAAAACTGGACCTGGGAAGTTGTAATCGCAGCTTTCCAAACATCTTCCTGGTTTTTGCCATAAGTGTGAATGGAGCCTATTGTGCCTTATTTGACTTAGACAAACTTTATTGATCCACAAGGGACACAGTATCTCACACTAAGTCAGTTATTCTAATATGCATGAAAAGTTCAAATACAGATGGACAGTTTAATGAGGGAACATTGTTATAACATGATCATGTTTCTTTAGCATAATGTTAACTTCACTTAACTGTAACATAACTTTTGTCCCCAGGGTGGGTCATACCTCATGTCTCGGAAACGACAGTGACATTGTGGTGTTTGGGGGAAGCAGCAACTTGACTCTCCAAATGGACCTGGTATGTTTTAGTTCCTCTCCACTCATACTGTGAACTCCTGTTCATGTGTACAGTTTATACACCGGGCTAATAATAACCCAGAGACATGTAAAGCTGTTGCCTAAAGGAACCTATAAGTGGTTTAAAGGCTCAGTGTGGTCTGGGGTCTGATGTGGTAATGTTAGTTTGCACATGTGAAAGCCAAGGCTAATTTAAACTAGGTATGTTTTGGGTGAGGTAACAGGGGAATTGGTAAAAAAAAATGGGCAAAAATATATCACAAAAATACAAATTTGACAAATTGTGTGCTTGTTTCATTACACTGGATAATGTTACTGATTATATTTTTTATTTGTAAAGCACCAAATAAACAATGTTCGAAAGGATCTCAAAATTCTCACTTTTATTTTTTTCATCAGGTGGCCATTTTGCGGTCTCCACGACAACAGCACTGCAGTGATGTGTTGATCTTTCAGACCCAGCCGTACCCTCTCTCCAGGTATGACGTAATGCACACTGGTACTTCCTGGTTCAGGTCACATGACGCAGCCTGTGCCACTGTGTACAGTATTATGTAAAGTCTAAAGGGGAGTCTCAACTGTTGGCATTAAATATTCATTCGCACATGCTTAAGTTTCAGCTAAATCCACTGAGACCTTTCTACTACTTATTCAACTGCATGAAACCGCCTCTAATATGCACCATAGGCCAGTCAGATAGTTACTGCTGTGTTTTTGAGGAACGAATAGTATTATTGTTATATATTAAGTAATTTTGTGTAATATCTGATGTGTGTTTATCACATTTATCTTTTAGGAATGTTAATAGTAATCACATTGGTAGAGTTTGAAGTATATAAATCATTTGTAACAGCGCTGGCGGCTGAAGTAGCAGTGACAGATGTTAATACTTTCTACATTAATCTTATCATAAAGGTCTTATATTATGCAAAATTTACTCTTGTGAGCTTTAAGCCATGTTAGAATGTTGTTCATCAAATGTACACCTGGAGTTGGCGTAATTTAGGCCCTTTAAGCTTTATAAAATGGAAATGCCTCCTGCCCATACACTGTGGGACAATCGTAGATACTTTGCTGTTAACATGGAATGAATGACGTAATGTTAGTCATTTTAGAATTTATAATATACATTTGTATATAATGCTTTTCAGGACACTCAGACACTTTACAAAAAACATTAATAGAGCAATATACAAATAAGAATTTAGACTTATAGGATACTTTTTTGGTGTGTATATGTGTATACCCTGTTATATAGGTAAGTTATGTAGACAATGTTTTATGCAGATGCAGGTTTCACTACATATACTTGAATACCTACTTGTATCTGAAGTCTGCTTATCCCATTCATTATATGGATAGTAATTTTGTATTATTTATTGGTATTATTTAACAGTGGAGTGGAAGTAACTGAAGTCAGTACTTTTGTACATTAATCATTTTTAGATATTTATCCAAATGCTTGAAAAACAAAATATGTTGTAATTGTAAGTTGTGAAAAAGCTTTATATAAATTGTTCCTCTTCTCTGTAGGTTGTGTGAAGACTTCATAGGAAGAAACAACATGCTGTTTGAGAGCCACCTGAACTCTCTGCCTCCAAAAATACAACACAAACTAGAAAAGAGATGTGCCTATTTCATAGCAGAAACCTTAAACCCTCTTACCGCAGATTTAAGTGCCTGATTTTAAAATGCAGTTCTTTAACCAGTTCTTTTTTTGGTAGGATTTGTTTATAAACATTTTTAACTTAATAATTTTGTAATAATAGTTTTGTAAAAAATACGAATTTGCCTTGTTTTAAAAAGCTTAATGTTTTACCAGTGATTTAATGCACATTTAAATAAAGATGTTATTTTATTTTGTAATATGTAAAAAATATTCAGTTATTAAAAACTTTGTCTTAGACTTGTGAATTCCCTTGTTTTTAATAATCCTTAATATTACTTCAGCACTTGAGATGGGGTGGGGGCAAAAATATTGATGATCACAACTTTTGTGTATATCTTTCCTACTAAAGCACATAAAGGGCTTTCTATATTTTATATTATGATTAGCATTAACAAAATTCTCCTGGAGAACTTTTAGTGTGGCAAAAAACGTGAACAACAGCAGTGGAATAAGCCATTAAAAATTATATAAATATTCAAATGTCTTATAAAAACTAATTATCCATGGGTTTGAAATAAAAAAAAATTAAATGTTACCTTTTGAATGTTTCAAAATGTAAGAGGAAAAAACCCTGAATAGATGATGATCTTGGTGAAATATTGGTAATGAAACATTTTCACACATAGATCCTATTACAGGCCGTGCATATTTGTTTCTAGGTTTTCACTTTTGACAGTTAAATGAACAGCTGGACATGCCCTGAAGAGAATTGTCAAACTCCAATCTCAACACTTGACAGGGTCATTTCAGCTGCAGTCTACTGACCTTTTCACATGTACATATTTGTGAACAGAAGTTGTAAAGTTGAAATGCATAGGTGCAAACAACTCAGCAGTTAATGTTTAGCTTGTTTGTCCACCATTCTGAGTTGCATGTTATGCTATTTAGCTCATTTTCTTCTAAAGATTGGCTCTCTGTTTCTATGGAGATGTTTCTATCGCTCTGCCTGAAATGTTCCACAATATGATACTACACAGCTCTACCTTACATTTATCCACAGATCTGACCTGTAACTCTGGTTTGGTCTCCATGACAATAAAAATATTGAATACCATACTGTGAAACATTTCAGACAAAGCAAAAACATCTCCATGGAGAAAAGCATCTGACGAGCTCTCCTCCTGAAAAGTTACACAATGCACCACTTAAAGAGTCAAATAAAGCCATATTTATAAATCTTTTTACTTTTATTCTTACATAATTTGGCATTTGAGGGACAGTACAAAGTGAACAGGACAAGCCATTCACTAGTGCTATTTTACACGTGCATTTCCTATCACCACCAGCTAATATTAAATTTGCATCTTGGTTTTTCACTTCCTCCCTTTCATGAAGCACAACTGAAAGAATAGTTTTAAAACAGATGTGTGAGACATTTGAACAGACAAAGACAACATGCTGTGGCAGGCCTATCAGCTGATTTACACATAATAAAAATAAAGCTTAAATTTACCGAAGATTTACAGTTTCAGATGGGCCATTACCAGAGGTGGGACCAAGTCTTTGTTTTGCAAGTCTCAAGTAAGTCTCAAGTCTCTGACCTCTTTTGCAAGTGAGTCAAGTCCCAAGTCAAATACAGGCAAGTCCAGATCGAGTCTCGAGTTACTGGCCCATACGTCCAGTTCAAGTCCAAGTCGTCTGCTTTGAGATTCAAGTCATTTCAAGTCTTTAAACCAAAATTCCAAATATAGCTTAGATTTTTGCAAATTTATATGAATTTTAAACTAAATTGTACTTTAAAAGTCATGGTATATTTATACATAGTATTTATCTAAGAGTAGCAGAAATGCAAATTTTTCCTTTAAATGTCTTGACAAGAGTGCAAATTATTATGGTCAGAACAAAAAGAGTTAAGATTTAAGAGTGCTTAAAAACACTTCATTTATCAACTAGTCTAAGTATCGAGTCTTCTCAAGTCACAGGCCTCAAGTCCGAGTCAAGTCCCCAAGTCATTGACCTTCAAGTCCAAGTCGAGTCCCAAGTCTTTGTCTATTTATCAAGTCAAGTCTCAAGTCCTAAAAATCCAAGTCCTCATCTCTGGCCATTATTGACAGAACAGTACCCATAATTTTAAGTAAAACAAAAAGTTTGAAAAATAACATGAAACTGACTCTGAGCTTTAAGCCATGTTAAAATGTTGTTACCTCATTAAAAACATATCTGAAGTTGTGTTTTGTTTCATTCACACAAGTTTGAGTAACCCTTTATCATTAGTCTATTCACATCTCCAAAGCTCAAAATACTGTTGCTCCTTTTTACCTTTTGTTCAGTAAACTGGCAAGTCCACAATAACACAACTCGAAGTATGTTTTTGAAGAGGAAAAAACATGACATAGATGAGAAAATAGTGCAATATCGGTCCTTTAAATTCCCAACATACAGCTTCAAATAGGCCATTACTGACAGAATAAAAAAAAATTGCAGTAAAATAACTTGAGCGAGAAATGATAAACTCTTAAACATGATGCAGTGGTAATAGCCAATACTCTGAATTAACCCTTTAGTTGACTCCATGGGCCTACAGTTTCAAATGGGCCTGATGTAGTTGGCAGGGAGCATTCCTCTTTGCCCCGTGCGCTGGTTAAACCCAAACACCCATCCTGCGTCGATGGTCTCCACATTTAGGATCAGATCTCCCTCCTGCAGTGACACTTCATCTGCCTCTGCTGCTGTGTAACTGTACAGGGCCTGGTAACGAGGCTGAGGAACAAAAACGTATATTTTAGTTGTTAAAATTGTAGCATTGTAAGCAGTTTTTATTCTTATGTAATGATTTACGCAGTAACTGTCCACGCACTCAGTAGCTCTGTCTATTTGTTATTATTGTATATGGTAGGTTGTGTTCACCATCTGTAATTTGATGTCATATGTTCAGACGGAGCCTTTCTAAAACTATTATGAAACCGTTATTTCACTCTTGGATGTCAAAAATCATGCCAGTTTTAGTTCCATGTGAATAATCTCAGTAACACCTACTGACCATAAACCAGCTCAACAAATCTGTTAAACTGTAACTTTCTCTGCAGAATTTGAACCCGTACTCCATCTAGTTTCAGTTTTATCCTGGAACAGCCAACGTCAACTTCCTTTCTGCTCCTAACTGCAAGAAAACCCTGAAAAATCTCTTTTGTTTATGTAATTGCCGTACCCCTCCAGCAGGTGGTGCCAAAGGACGAGGCTGCACAGCTGGTTGGATCAATCTCGGATCATTTGGTTGTTCATCTTCTGCTCAAACAAACCAAAAAGATAACAACAAATGCAATGTTTTTATTTCATTTGTTTAATTTTACAGGTGTTTTTCTGAATAGTTTACCTCTTCTATTTTCAGGTGGTGGGGCATCACTTCGTATCTTGCTCTTCTCAAACTCCTCGTGGTACTTAATCTGAGAATAATAATGAATACGTTTTTATGTATTATATGTATAATGTATTAAGCTTTCACATGTTTTGCTTTTGACTAGAAGAAGGCATTCAAGCTACTTCCTGTACCGCAGCTCTGAGCCAAGAACTTGAGGAATTCAAAATAGTTTAGACTCTGCCCCTTGACCAACTGCGTGTGTTACACTGTCCTCACTACACCTCATGGGAGCAGCTCAGAACACCACACAAGAGAGACTTTGTTCCACTCATCTAATCAACAATTATTAAACTCGTTAAACTAAAATCCTTAAAGCCCCACCGTGTAGCTTTTTAGCCAAAAATAGACTTGTGATTTTTTTGTTTTTTATTGCACTGAAAAACATGTATCCTAACAGTGAGTGGGCTTATATCTCCACAAACCTGACTTACTTGGTCTGTTGGCTATAATATTCCACAGCATGGCATAAAACTTATATATCTCCATGGAGAACATTCTGAAGTATGGTTTTAACTAGGGATGTAACGATAACCGAAATATCATGATATTGTATCGTCAAAGTTCTCACAATAATATTGTGGACCATCACAATATATCGAATTACAAGTCTCTTTGCTTAAATTAGGAGTTATAGTGCAGCAATAGCTAAAAAAGACAGAGAGAACTACATAGACCATGATCCTTTGCTCCATTTCAGTGTAGACTACAAGAAGAAATTACAGTTCTAGGCACTTTTAAGTCTTAGTTCTTTGGATTAAGTCTTGTCAAGGCATTTTAAGAGGAAAAAGTAGCATCTTCACAGTTTTGTTTGCCTCCACAAAATATCAATAAATATTGTACCGTGAGTTGTACATCATGAAAATATTGCATAAATGTCGTAAGACATTTGGATATTGTTACATTCCTAATCGTGAGACTCTCACCATATCGTGAGCTTTCCCACGATATCACAATAAATATCGTACCGTGAGGTTCATACCATGACAATATCGTATCATGAGACTTGGATATCGTTACACCTCTAGGTTTAACTGTATATTTCAGTGGAATCATGCAGTTACCGTGCCATCTATACAGAAAGTTACACAATGTTGCTTTAAAATACTTTGCCTAGATTGTTCCACAATATGGCATCATAAACTTGTTTTGCAGGTATTCAATTACAAGTGTTTATGTTGCTAAAATAATACAAAGACGTATTCTTACAGTGAACAGGCTGGCCTCTCAACAGATCTGACCTGTAACTTGGCCTGGTTTAGGCCACAGCTGTTCTGCAGTGAACAGTTAGTTTCTGCTCCTCACGCAACTTTCATCAAAAGTTGTGTAATAATATAACACATACACACAGACAGACTCCCAACACACACAGACACACAGTTATGTTTTAGTTATGTGCATTTGACTAATCCTTCAAAGGCTCTGGGGCGACCTGTCAGGAGCAGTGGACCCATCTTGAGGCAGGATGTTGAACAGGATTCACTTCACTTAATTCATCTTAACAGGGTTTACTCACTGACAAAATTTCAAAACTTTTTCATAACTTTTCATGGCCTAATGTGAATTTTCCATGACTTTATAGCATCCTACATGTCATTAGCCTAATAGCATAGTTGCTTAAGTCATATTTGAACGTTTTCAGAAAACAAGAAAAAACAATTTTTAAGCAAGCACACTGTTATTTTTTATTGATATTATATAGATGACTAAGGCAGACAGGCATTTTAGACTCTAACAAGTGTTCTGAGGCTGAGGACATAGGCAATAAGTGTAGCAGTGGCAGGACATTAAAGTTAGGGAAATATCACAATTTGGCCAAAATTGATCAAACTTTTAGGGCGAAATATAAAATGTTAACCCTTTCCATTCACCTTACGGTTTGGGATAGTTTTTCAACATTCAAAATACTGCCAGTGTATTTATTGTATTAAACAAAAGCACATACGTTTGGAAATAATCATAATAGCCTAATGAGAACTTAACAGAACGCTGCAGTTGTGTGAAAGAGATAATAAAATTCCATGACTTTTCCAAAACTTTCATTGAATTGACAAAATTCCATGGCTATTCCAGGATTTCCATGACCGTGGGAACCCTGTCTTAACCACAAAAAAGTAATTTGTATACCTACATTTGACAGTGATGCTCCCAGTGCATTATAGTTGTCTTTAAATGTAATTGCCCATTTTATAACAAACCAGTGCAGCACTATGCAGACCAAAGACAGTTGAGATTCGACTTACGACATTACCCATAATTCCTTTTTGCAACCGCTGCTCTCAAGAGAAGAAGTGTGTGTGTGATTGTGTGACTGTGTGTATATGTATGTGTGTGTGAGTTGGGGGAGAGCAGACATTCTGTTTGTGTCCACAGCTGAGAGACTTTGACCATATAGGGCCGTAGCTCCTCTGTGGACAGGGAGACATGCCAGAAATGTGCGTGTGTCTTCAAGCATTGATTCAAAGAGACTTCTCACAAGAACATATCTGATCTTTCTGCTAAAATATAATCTCTAATATGAAGCCTGAACAATTTTTGAGACTAAATAGGTGCTTTTATGTTCCTAAAATCTTACTTGATGTTACTCAGAGACGGTGTTTTGTAATTCTACTCTTAATTTTTACAATATGTAGACTGTCTTATTTCAGTTCTGGTTTAGTCCCAGTGTAGTCATGATTTAGTGAATTCCTAACAATTTATTTCAAGTGCCAGTTTAGTTTTGGTTTAGTCTTGGTTTATTCCTGATTTAGTCCTGGTTTTGTCCCAGATTAGTCCTGGTTTAGTCCTGGTTTAATCCTGGTTTAGTCCTGGTTTAGTCCAGGTTTAGTCCCATAATATAGTCCTGAATTTCTCCTTGATAATTCCTGGTGTAGTTCCTGCATCCTGAATCACATTTATCTCAATAAACCTATTAATGGATATCAACTTCCTGTGTTGAGGACCCATTTAAGGACTGTTACTGTGTTTTATGCACTGGATTTTCAACACTCTGAAATCTTTGAATATTTTGTCTGGCTTTGAGGTCTTTGTCTCTTTTATGTCCTCAAGCAGAATGAAACTTGGTATGTTGGTATATGTTTGACTATAGTGAACATATTACTGTATATGGTGTGTTCTTACATTACTGATTTGGTCCTGAGTCTTCTTTAGCCTCTGCATCTCTGGAGTGTCAGTCACCACACTGAAGCCTTTGCCCTTGTTCTTTTCAAAGTCCTCTTTGTAGAGCGCCTGCAGCAGTTTAACATAATCAATAAAAATACAATAAAGATCATGCGTTTTGTGAGAACAACAATAAGATGCAGTATAAAAAACAAAGAAGTAAACAAATATTAATCCAAAAATAGACTATGCTTAAAGTTGCATTATGTAACTTTTCCGACAGAGGGGTTGCCATCACTTGTCTTCATGGGAATTGCTTTGCCAGGACTATAACTTCAATCAATCAATCAATCAATCAAACTTTATTTATAAAGCACTTTTCATACAAAAATGTAACACAAAGTGCTTTACACAGATTAAAAACAATCCCACATTTCCACCCACCCACCCACTAACCCAACCCCCACAGCTGCCCAACTCGACACAACCAAACATCACAGACACCCAAACCCCCCCCACACACACACACACATTAACCTGCTAAAATACATAAAACGACACATAGTAAAAAAAACTTACCTTAATAGACACAAAGAGAATGTAAGACAAGCAAATCACAATAAAAGTTTTTGAAGATTTCTTCTGCGACTGACTAGAATGAAATGAATCCAGTGAATATAGAGTTAATTTCATACTAAAGAACATTGTCTCCATCTCCATGGAGACAAGCAAGTAGAGGACAACCTCCAGAAAAGTTACATACTGCACATTTAAAATGCATTCTAATGAGAACATCAGATACAGTAGGTTAAAGGTCCCATATTACACAAAATTGACTCTTGTGAGCTCTGTACCAAGTTATTATGTTGTTCCCTCATCAAAAACATACCCGGAGTTGTGTTTTGTTTCATTCACACGTTTGTGTAATCATTTATTATTAGTCTGTCTACATCTCCAAAGCTCAAAATGCTCTGTTCTTGTGATGTCATGTAGTAGTAGTTTTCAAGTTAACAGCTACCTTTTAACTTTAGTTTAGTAGAGCTTGGCAATGCCAGAGCTGAAATTATCCAAATCATTCTAATGAGGATGTATAGAGTTTAAAAACACAGTAGAACCCTTCCTATGTTACCAGATGACATCACAAGGTGGAGTGTTTTCTGTTTAAATATACAAGGTTTGTGCATTAAACATGTGTGAATGAAACATAATATAACGGCAGATATGTTTTTGATGAGGAAAACAGTGTACTATGAGCCCTTTAAATATTAAAGAGGTATACATTATTTCTAGGTTTAATGTCAGATATTAAGCCTAAATGAACTGACAAATTATTCATTAAAGATGCATTGCCAGATTGTTGTGTAAATAGGAAAAAGGGAAACATAAAAACAGTTATATGGAATAAAAACATAAATAATACATATATAATTAAGACAAAGACACATGCAAGAAAAGGCTGAATTAACTTTTTGTTAGAAAAATGTGCTGTATATGACTAAAATGTTAATAATAATTTCATATAAATAATTAGAAAAGCTGTTATGTGATTTGTACATGAACCTACATGACTGATTTGATCCTGTGTTTTCTTCACCCTTTGCATCTCTGGAGTATCTGCCACAACGCTGAAGCCTTTGCCTTTGGTCTTTTCAAACTCCTCTTTATAAAGCGCCTGGGAATATTCAGTCCATTAACAATCTTTTCAAGTGCATATGACAGACGTTTATGATTCTCTAATTTGGGCTTAAATGTGTGTTATGTAACTTTTCTGGTGGAAGATCCATCAAATGCTTTTCTCTGTGGAGATGCTATTACTTTGGTTGAAATGTTTCATAATGTGGCATTAAACCTTTCTATCTTCATGGAATCCAAACCAGACCAAGTAACAGGTCAGATCTGTGGAGAGGCGACCCAGCTCACAGTCAGAATACCTGTTTTTCTAGGTATTTTTCAGCTAGAAAATCACCTGTAATTTATTGAATAAATGTAAGGCAGAGATGTTTAAAATCATACTGTGGAACATTCCAGCCAGAGCAATGACATATCCATAGAAACAAGCAGGTGGCAGACCCCCAACCAAAAAGTTACATAGTGCACCTTTAATTTGGTGGGATTATAAGTAACGTAAATATAAATTATCGTTTTACATCTATCAAGAGGCTTGAGAAGAAAAGCTGAAAAATATGTTGAAAATTAGTAGAAATAAGTAGAAATTTCAAGTATTTTAATAATGACAAAAGTCATTCTGTCTAAAAGTTAGGGATGTTTTAAATGTAAGAAACACATTTCTGATACTTCTGATACTTTACACATGATTTCAACAAAATAAAGGTGTTTTCTTATATTTGTATTTGTCAGATAATATTTTATGTGTACGTTAGAGGAGTTTTTCTAGGGAACAGTTATGGAATTCCCTATTTCCAACCAGGAAGCAAAATTTTAAAACTAAAAAAATTGTCAAATTGGGAAAACAAGTGTGAATTTTTTTTTTCAAAAATCTCAAATATAATGACTGTGTTGTACTAAAATGAGTAGTCTATCCTGTCATAGGTACTGTGTAACTTTTCTGGTGAGGGGGTCTGTCACCTGTTGTTTCTACGGAGATGTTGTTGCTTTTTCATCAATGTCCCACAGTATGGCATTTAACTTCTTGCATTTTTTCAATTACAAGTGTTTTTATTGCTCAAAAATAACTTGAAAAACATGCATTCTTACTGTGAGTGGGATCACCTCTCCACAGATCCGACCTGTTACTCGGTCTGGTGGCATGTCCTGCTTTTCTCCATGGAGCTAGATAGGTTTAATGCTGTACTGTGTAGCATTCGAGGCAGGGCAAAATCATCTCCAGGGAGACAAGCAAGTAATGGACCCTCCACCAGAACAGTTACACAGTGCACCTTTAAAGTCGTTATCTGTCAGTGCTGAAAACTGAACATCTGTCTCTTATTACAATTCTAGTGTCAATAATGAAAACAACATTCTTACAACTCATCTGAAATGTGCTCGAATGTGTGTCCATAAAAGGAATTGCATGTAAAACAACAACAAATAAACCAAAACAGAAATGCAGAGATATAATTCTGTATACTGTAGTAGTATAGCATACACACTGTAGTATACAATAAGAACAAAAAAACTAACTTTTTGCTGATTTACAGATAGTGTTGTCTCAATAAATGCTCAATCTAAAACTCTCATCCTCTATTTTCTATACAAACCCAAATGCTCTATACCACAGGTGTCAAACATACGGCCCGGGGGCCAGATCCGGCCCTCCAAGAACTTTAATCTGGCCCTCGGCTGATTTTCTACTAAAATATTTTAATGATATTTTCTATTAAAATATTGGTAATTTTCTGTGCCACTTAGCATAGCAGAATCTCCAGCGCCTCTGTACATGGCCCCTCCAACAAGAGCAGCACAAATGAAGACTTGTCTCTTTCCAAACGCTCTTAAAGGACGATCGTTTTGACTGTTGACCGTGACACCTTCATCAGCAAAATGTCAAAAATGAGAAAAGTGGAGCCGAGTGCAGGATTTTCCAAGAAAAATGTACTTATTCCTATTTGCATACAAGTTAATGTTAAAACATTGTGTTGAAATTGCATTTTTCTTAAAGTTTCAGGTTGTTCATAATATTATTATATTTTGTAAAAGAAAGATTCTGTAATAGATTTGCATTTCTCTGCACAAATATTTGAACTTATTATTTTTGGGGTTTATATGACATGAGTTTTCTGATCCGGCCCCTTTGGGATCAAAGTAGGTTGGATACGGCCCCCGGACCAAAATGAGTTTGACACCCCTGCTCTATACTGATTTTAATACTACATAGACAATTAACTAAAAATAAAAAGTGTGGTTTCATACTAGTTATAGAGATCTAAAACCATTCAGGAAAGGTCAGATTTTGTTCTATTCATGTAAATATTTCAGTAGTGAAACTTACAGCACTGATACACTTAGTTTTGTCTAGTTTTAGTATTGATTAGTACCTGAGTTTTGATTGAGAAGTCTAATTCCTAACATTATCTTCTATACAAAATATTACCTGAATTCCCTGAACAAGCATTTGACTTGGAAATCTTCATTCTAGTTACATTAATAGTGTTAGTAATGTGTGTCTACCTTCCCTTGTCTAATTATTTATTGAATACAAAAGGAGGGATACCAAAACCCCATAAGACACACACACACACAGTGAGTCAGGGAGCTGCTATGAAGAATATGCTGTCTTAGTGAGGAAGCCCGAGTGCCAGGACTTTTATGGTTATAAACACTGAACAGAGCCCCACAAAGTCCAGCACAGAAAGAGAAAGGGCTACAAGCTAAAGCTGAAATATAATCCTCATAGGTTTTATCATAATACATGTTAAAAAAAAGGATTATTTTCACCATAAATGGAGAACTAGTGAGTAATATAAGACAATGAGGCTATGTTTAGGTTAATGACTATACTTGCTTATTACCGTACTATATTTTCATGTGTAGTGCTGTTAAAATCGGCCGCCATCGTAGGCAGGTCTGTTTCATTTCAGCAGCTGTTGGCCCCATTTAAAATTCTGGGGTGGTCATTTCACTGAAACACTTTCTGATTCAATAGTCATAGTTAACTTGGTTGGTCGACAATTCATTATTTTATGATTTCAATGCATGTTACAGTATTTTGATCTTCTGTTTGTCCTTACAGATATAACTGACAAAAATATATTTCAAACTTGATCCAGAATCTTAATATGCTACTGTACAATCTTAAGATAAACTGTTTTCATTGTGTAAACACTAGCTGCACTAGATTGAAAAATGACTTCCGAATGTCAGTAGAAACGTCTTGCTTTAAAAGCAGTGTCCAGACTACCTTTAAAACCTCTTTTATCTTGGACTCTTCCTGGACAAATGACGTATTAGACAAAATAGCTACATTCAAGGTCCCAGTGAGCTTTAAGCCATGTTATAATGATATTACCTCATCAAAAACATAGTTGTGTTTTGTTTCATTCACACATCGTTTGACTAACCCTTTATGATTAGTCTGATGTCATGTAATGGTAGTTTTCAAGTTAACAGCTACGTTTTACCTTTTGTTCACTAGAGACTGGCAATTCCAGGGGTATAATTATCCAGAAGATTTTAGTGAAGGTGTATGGAATTTAAAACCACAGAAGCGCATTTCCTGTATTTACCACATGACATCACAAGATGGAAAAGGTGTGAATGAAACAAAACAAAACTCCAGGCATGTTTTTGATGAGGAAACAACATTATAACATAGATCAGAACATAGCGTAATATAGGACCTTTAATAATTCTAGATCTCAGTCAAACTAGCTGGAGGTTGACAAAGACAAAGATGCCCTACATACACAAAACAATGAATCTCAACCGCTCAGTATCTCATCTAGATAATGTGCACTCTAATGCATGTTCAGGTTTTGCTATTGTGCCTTTTTAATTAAAATCAGAGAAACATCTGAGACAGAGAGAGGAGATGAACACTTAACATGACAAGATAAGGACAGTACATTTGAATAAGAGGAACCAGCTGACAGGAAGTAGACCAAATATGGGCGTGGTTCTGACCTGGCTGTTGAGCATCGTCTGTTGTTTGAGGCGCTTATTTTCAGGGGTGTCCGTCACTATGGTGAAGGAGGTTTTTGGGTAATGCCTGAAACAGCAGAAGTACAGTTAATGTAAAATATTATGACTAGTACAAGAGTAGTCAATAGAGCCATTATTACCACTTCTACAATTAGGCCTACTGCAAATATTGCCTGCATGGTCAGTCTGAAAGAACAGTTACTGTACAACATTTTCAGAATTAGTATTTTAAATATGTATTCACGGTACATGTATTCAGGTACTTCTCAACACTGATTATTAGTTGAACATTTTCAGGCTTCAAACTGCACAGAATCTTGCTATTTTTGCTACTTATTTTGAAATTATTATTACAATTTACATTTTTTTCTCGTTGTTATTGTATTATATTGTGATGTGTGAGCTACTGTGTCCAAATAATTTCCCTTGTGCATCAATAAAGTTTAATCAGTGAGAAAACTAGAAACCACAGCTCTTGTATTTAGTCTTTTTCTTCAAACACTGATAACAAACATAGAGCTGTTTTCAATCCTTTGTTGAGTTTTTGCTCTATAATTTAAATGCAACTTGTTGAAAAAGTATTTTAAGTATTCAGAACAGGTTACAACATTTTAATGCAGGTATTCAGTATTCTGCTAGTAAATACATTTTCAAAATATTCTTACTATCACTGCTAATAATGAAAATAATGAATGAAGACTAGTAGTTTTGATCACACTAATATTATATTGTTACAAATACTGCTTCTACTGCTATTACAAAATTATAAAAGTAGTATGATACATTTTTTTTGCTAGTTCCAGATGAGAATAGTAATGCTCATCATCACAACAAACTAAACCAAACTCCAAATTTCTAAACATGATGGCCAATCTCAAAGTACTATAACTTCACACGTAAGTATTGAAAGTGATGAATGAAAAATGTACTCCAGCTACAGTCATTTTTGCTCACACTGGTACAACTTACAAATTGTCTGTAAATGCATTTTTCTAACCTTGTTTTGACTGCATGTACATTTTTTGTACTTTATTGTGTTCTAAGAGCTTCAATAGCTTCAATGACTTCTACTGGATCATATCTGCTCATACTAGACTATAATTTACATTTAGTCAAAACTCACATTGAACAATAGGGTTTTTTCTCAAAGCCCTTGTAGTTGCTCATGCTCAGGGCCATCTTGCACACTTCACAGCTGAAGCATCCCTTGTGCCAAAACTAGAAGAGAAATTCAAATTTTAGAGATAACTACAAGAGAGATAAGCAGAGATAAGCAGCATGTTCGTAATATCTGCATAACAAGGTCAAATGTATGTGTGTGAAACAGAAATGAGGCTGTTTTTTCTAGTGATGCACCAATCCGACTTTTTCATTTCTGATACAATCTTGATACTTTGACTTTAAATATTTCGGAATTCCCAGTATCAACTGATACCAGTGTAGGAAAATGGCACTTTTTTTCTTTAAAACACAATTATCTTATTACACAAAAGATCCAATTGTGTTACGTAACTGTTATTTATCCTGTAAATAAATAGTCTTATTACATTCAATTAAAGGCCCAATCAGGATATAGGTTTAATCAGTATTATGTGCCCAATACCTGATCCAACAAAAATTTCAGTATCAGCACCAATATTTGATCCTTGTATTGAATATCAGTGCATCCCTTGTTATTTTAATAACTGGATAGAAACGTGCACACTATCATAACAATAAGTGATATGCATTTTGAGTATTAAAAACAATACATTTGTCTATTTCACGTGCCTGTCTGTGTCATGCTTATTGAGGGCTATACTTCAGAACTGATGATAGGCCTACTAGATATTACAACAGAGTGAAAGTTATTATTATTATTATTATTATTTTTATATAACCTACCTTATCGAGGCAGTTGATTTTCTCTGTTGGATAAACTGGTTTCTTGCATCTTCCACAAGGAGGATTCATTGTGAAAAGTGCCCTGGGCCACCTCAAGAGACACAGAATAATTAGGGAAGACCGTATTTGCAGAAAAATAATGTGGACAGACTAGATAGAACTGTGGAACCGATAATCAACGGGGAAAAGACCTCCTCTGGGGTTGAATGCAATTAATATGGGAGTAAGGAGGAGGGGCCACTGGAGCTGGAAAAATGCCTTATGTTTTTAATGTCATTTTTTTCATCACGATTGTGCTCGGTTAAACAACATCTCATTGATCGCTGAGTAGGATCGCATCGTTGTCAAATCACATTGTTCATGTGAACTCTCGCATCAAACATTAAAAATATTAAAATGCAGGAAAAATGTCCCGCTCTTCTGTGGACGACGCTTTGGCGCCCTCTCCTGGTTGCACACGGCAGATTTCAGGTGAGCTTGCCAGATCGTAAAGTTTATAACTAATGTATTTTTCCTGCGATAACGTTAATATGTTTTCTCATAAGTACACATAATGCATATTATTACATACTCTTTATCCACAGATGCTAGGAAATAGAAAACCCCGCTGATTCAGCCACGTTGTTTATGCTAGCCACCCTGATGAACATGCTAACCTGAAACCCGCTAAGCTAGCGAAAGCTCAGCTAACAACGCAAATAGTCAATGTACTGCATGTTGTTTACTTTACCATCAAGAAGGATGTCATTTTATATAATGGTAACAATATTCAAAATGGTCAAATAGCGTATATTTTAAGTGTCGTTAAAAACTTCAGATCTCTTCTTCGTTAGCGTCTGGGGGTATAGCTCAGTGGTAGAGCATTTGACTGCAGATCAAGAGGTCCCCGGTTCAAATCCGGGTGCCCCCTCTTTTCCTTTTTGTTTCGTTACTAACAGATTTGTTGTAAATAAATAACACAATATAACAGATATAGTCATATTTGTAAGATTAATATCAGAGCTGCCTAAAAAGCAAATTTTGGCAAATTAAAGGCACAGAACACAATATAAAGACACAGTATGTAACTTTTTAGCCAAAAATACAATAACAGAATGGTTTGTTCTCTTTTTTTTTTATTTTCTGGTTGTGTTATGCACAGAAAAACATAGTGTCCTTACTCTGAGTGGGCTTGCATCTCCACAAACCTGACTCTTGTTTGGACTCCTGCTTGTTTCCATGGTAATGTTGTTTCCTTGGCTGGAATCTTCCACAGTATGGGATAAAACATATCTATATCCATGTAGAATACTACATATGGAATATGGGTTTGTCTTTCTTTTACCATGTAATCATGCCAAATTATTCTAATTTGTACCAATGATCAAACAAATACATTTTTCAGCTTTTATTAAAAGACAAAACATAATTAATCAAAGAAAGTTCATTCATCATATCTATTCAAACAAATCAAAAATTTTCCAGAATTCAAAATTACTAGGCTATTATACTTTTTAGGAATTTTAATAAATGTAAACCAACATATTCTCACACAAATGAACACAAAGAAAATGTAATACACATCATAAATTTGATCTGTACATGGATTTGCAGTATGAAGGCTTGTTTGATTTGTTCCCTCACATTTCCCTGATGATAATTTTATACACATATTCCCACCCAGCACTGTAAATGTCTTCTTTTTCCAGGCTTTCCTTCACCAGCCGTCAGATATTTAGAAATTCCCTTGTGTAAAACCAGAGGCCGCTTCAGTAATCACCATCCAGTATCCGAGGATGGAGGGAGCCAGTCGGTGGGTGGCTAGGTCTCCCACAGTCATCAACAAAAGGTCCAAAAATATGTCCTTTTGTGTCACTATATATTTTTTTCTAGATCCATTAAAAACATGGTTCAGCTTCGATGAAACCTTCCTTTTCGTGACTTCCAAGTTCAACCTCAGCATAACTGGAGTGGCAGCCCTGGTTTCGAAACTTCATAGAGGGCCAGTAGTTGTTTGTGTGTCGCTGTAAAATATAAAAATCATACAGCCATGTTAAGGTAAGCACACAGGGGTTAGCTATACTGGTGGGCTATATGAATATAGTGTCTTTAAAGTTCTTAAAAGTGAATGATTCTAGAGGCAAAAGAGTAAAAATTAGGGCATATGTCTCATTCACTTTTATGATTAGGAGCACGTCAGTGAATGTTCTGCAAAGTTTCACGAATTAATCTCAAAAGTTAATGGCTGACACTGACTGACACTGATAATTGAGTTTGATATATCAATGGAATCAGGGTCATGCAGTGTATAACTGATAGAAATTTCAGCACGATCGGACTAAACATGTGTGTGTAATAATTTTTACAATACTTTTAGGGGAGTCTTTGCTCCCCTGCTGGCCAACAGTGGAAAATGCCCAATATCCATAATCTATTTATTTGCTCATAATCATGCATAGAATTAAATCTCTGAATCTGGTACAAATTCGATATTGTTAACATTTCATGTCTATGCAAGGGGGCACTATATTGTTCACTTTTCATATTTATAGTGCATTATATTCAGGCCAATATCAGGCATTAGTGACTGATTCAAATTTCAGCACGATCGAACTACCGGTAACCATGTGTGAGTAATATATATATATATATATATATATATATATATATATATATATATATATATATATATATATATATATATATATATGTGTGTGTGTGTGTGTGTGTGTGTGTGTGTGTGTGTGTGTATGTGTGTGTGTGTATATATATATATATATATATATATATATATATATATATATATATATATATATATATATATATCAGCACGACCGTACTAATCCTGTGCCTGTAATACATTTTTAACTATTTTTGGGGGGATTCTTTGCGCCCCTACTGGCCAACTGTGAAAAAAGCCCCATGTCCATAATCAAGTTTTTTGCTTGTAATCATATAATTTACTCCCCAAATTTGGTACTAATCCAATGTTCCAATAATGTTTCATGTCTATGCTAGGGGTCGCTATAGAATTCACTTTTATTAGATTTCATATTTCATTACATTCAGTCCCAGATCACACAATTTTGATTTGAATTTGAGCTCTCTAGGACAATGCCTATGGCTGTGAGAGGTCTTAAAACAAACAGGAAATTAAAATGTTTTTTGCCGGCGTGCTAAAGGCAAACCGTACGGAGTATCCCAAAAACTGCTGATAATTTTTGTGAAGTTATGTCTGTAGATGTGTCTGTGTGTCAAATCTGAGCTCATTTGGACCAAACACCAGGGACTTGAATCTTTTTACAGACATGAAAGTCAAAATGGCGGTGAATTTTTTATCCAATATAGCCGTTGTCCTCTTTGTCATAGAGGATGTTCCAATTCATCTTTTGGCTTGTTTTTTTTTCATTCATTTATTTATTTGTTTGAGCCAGGTACAACAAAATTCAAAAACAGTAATAAAAATAGTGATATGCATATGAACATATTTGGGACCTGGTGCTCAAAAGGAGTAGGATGAAGTTTAAAAAACTTATAGAGTCCTACCCCAATTGCTTTACATAATCATGTGGTTCACACTTTTTCTTTTTAAATATATCACCTTTGGAGTGCTTACCTGTCATTATGCAGAAATATACACACATATATACAAAAACATATCCACACATACATACATACATACATAGACATGTACACACATACGTACATACATACATATATGCATCATAGATATCCAGTACATATACTCAGTATAATTGTTTATACACACATATGCATAACACACATATACACACATGCAGAAACATATTTTCGTTTATGCTTGTACATAGTAATAATGTTATCGAAGGCACAAAATTTATCGTTTATGATCGTACAAAATAAACAGTAATGAGAATGAAAAATTTAAGAATTTTTGTTTTCGTTTATGGTCGTACAAACTAAACTCTCATTACTGTTTATTTTGGTACAATCATAAACAACAAACTTTTGTACCTTCTTCATTACTATTATTAGTTTATCCTTTGGCTTGTCTCATTGTTCTCTATCAATCCCGAATTTCATTTGCCTGCATCGAAATATGCTTTTCAGCTGCCCATAGAGTTTCAACTTTTGCAAATTCCAGGGGGAGCTGCTGAGTGGGGTCACTTTCGGCATTGTTGCGATGCCCATTTTATCAAATTTTTTGCCAGACTGGTCGATCTGATACCCGGTTTTGGGACTTTTTGTCGACGTTCAGGCCCTCAAAATTGGGATTGTTTGCAAGGAAAAATAATAATAAAAGAGCATAAGAAAAAATTTTTTTCAAATATGTCCATATGACCTGAATATGCATTTGTTCCTCTATACCTGCATGAGGTAGAATGGTGGGGCCACTGTGGGGTGTGTGTTGATGTAGTACACAGCCAGTAGAGTCAAAACCACGAGCACAACCAAAGCAGCCACTACCCCTGCGATGATTGCTGTGTTCTCCGATATCCCAGAGGCATCAGAAGGGTCGGACTCTTCATCTGGGAAAAACAAATATATTTATTATTAAAACAAAGTACTGAGGAAAAACAGATATATTTAAGACACTGTTCTGTTGTTCTTTGCTATTTGATGACAATAGGATTCAGTGCACTTTTCCATGGTATTTGCCAAACTTCAAGCTGTGCTGAATGATTCTCCTTTTCATGGTTGTAAATAACTTGACCATCTGGCTATATCTGCCTGACATCAACATATTCAGCTGCAATGGACAATGGACAATGATGTGATTTTAGGTATGATTTACAGGCTCAATCTGGATTGCAAGTGCATTGTTATTCATTTGTCGAGTAACTAAACATGACATTTTATAAATACAGTTTAAAATATTAAGCCATTCTCAAGCTAGAATGGACTGTCTTGCCATGAAACAATATCTGATAACTGTATAGGTGAATTCCTAGTTTATAACATTATATAATAGTGATTTTTGTACTTTTAAAAAAACATTTATTAAAGCTATCTATTTCTGAGCTATTTCCAATAGCTTGTGTAATGATCTGTCATGTGTAATTGGTTCCTTGATTAGTTTTATCAGTATCATTGGGATAGAAACCTGCTTTTTAAATTTAGGGTGTGCATAAACGTTTGTGGAGACCATTTTTGGCAGTCATAATTGTATTTTGTTACATTGTTCTTGCCAGGAAGAAAACTCCAAGAGGAAGTATTGGCCTTGCCTGTGGTGGATGGGTGGTCTTCGAGCTTGGCTGCTTTCTTTGTTGAAGCTGTTGGAGAGGACTCGAGATGAGACACTGTGGTTTCCTCAGGTACTGGGTTATAATCCTCACATCTGCCTTTTGACTGAGGGAGAAATACACAGAATCAATACTACTTGCAAATACTTATAGGCCTGTGACAATTAAAATAGAAACATATAAACAATACACAACAAAATATATATTAAAGACCACTAACACAGTGATCCTAAAGCATAATAATTAAGATAGCCCTTTTATAAAAGATCTAGATTAGAAATAAAATTTGAGCTGCACTAAATAAATGAATGAATGTTAATTATTAAACAGCTTAAATGCGTATTACACAAACATAAGAAAATATTCCAGTGCAAGTAAAGGCCCATATGATATATACTGAGCTCAAAAATAAGGTTAATCTCTAATTTATTGAATGAAAGTTTGCTATAGTAAATACTGTGGCTGACCTACTTATAGAGGAATATAGATCAATGTATGTCTTCACTGATAGTGAGTGGTATAAAGCGGGTAGCTAAAATGTCCTAATACCAGATGGTGATGTCTAGACAACCAGGTCAGAGCTCCTGGGATGTTACATTGGTCAGTATGCATCAATAGTCCAGACTACAGAACAGATGTGTATGGTAGGGCTGCGAGATTAATTGCAGTCATAATTTAGAATGGATGAATGAATGGATGCAATTAGCAAATCACAAAGGCTGCAATTTTTGAAGTATCATGATTTCCCCCACGGGCAAAATGTTTGGTCTTGTTCTGTATAAAACTACTAACCCCAAAATTTGATTCTCGTATTAGTTTCGTATTAGTTGGATGTGTTTAAAATATGAACTTTGAACAGAAATACAGCTACTACTTGTCATAAAAATCGCAATTAGATATTTTTCTAGAAAGGTTCAGCTCTAGTGTATGTACTGTGTAAGATGTGCATGTAATGTCCTGCTTTTGTTTGGCTGCTTACCTCTTCTGGACAGTTAAATTCAAGCCACTCTTGTCTGTGCCGGTCTATGCCATCAGAGCATCTGAAACATAGTGGGATAGTGCCATTGTATTATACATTTAAAAGAAATATTGTCAGTAGTCTAAACATTCTCAGAAATGCATTAGCAGGGGTGTTGTACAGATCATCTTGGTGGGCCTGTATTGCATCTTCTCTTTATGAAAATGACATATTACAGATTTTGTGAAGGGCCCCTGCCTGCTCTGGGCCTTGGGTAAACAGTAGCCTTTACCCTCCTCAGTTTGACGCATTAGTCAAAACAAAAAAAGTAAACAATACCTCCCTGAAACTGATGGATGAAAAAGTTACTTTTAAAGGTGCACTATGCAACTTTTCTGGTGGTGTGTTGGCCTTGTTGCTTGTCTCCATAGAGATACAATTGCTTTCAGGGACTACATTAAACTTATTCATCTTCATGGAGTACTTATTTATTTATACTACCTTTGAACTGTGTTGCACCATCCGCAGCCCGTTGTTAGATTAGATGTCATGCACAGTTCACATGTTGTGTGCTGAGAACAAGCTAAACACATACAAAAGTTTTAAATATAAAGATATGAACAGTTAATCTATACAGACAAGTACATAATACTTACTCGGCAAAGGTATAATCTCAATGGCAGATTGACTGACAATCTTCGTGGGGTCAATTTCTACACGATGATACTCGTAGATTGTGTGCTGTGTTGAACCTTCAAGTAAAGAAAAACTAGTTACATCCATTACATTATGAAACTAGATATTGGTCTTAAAATAATAATACTGTTATCTTATTATCTGTCTGCTAAGCCCCTCTGAATAAATTATATCGACTATCAAATATATATATCAATAATATATTGTCTTATTATGTTGGACTCAATATACACGAGGATCAAGCTGGAGACACAGGGAGCGGGAGACGAGGAGCGAGCAGGAGACACGGGGAGCGAGTGGGAGACAGAGGAAACGGAAGACACGAGGAGTGTGCGTGAAACAGGGAGCTGGAGACACGGGAAGTGGGAGACACAGGTACAGTGGCGCTGAGTCAGGCCCGCACTTTGATTATCAGCTCAGCTGAGCTTTCTAGAAGACCATGTGCCTTTTTTAGAAAAGCTGTATGAAAAGCTTTTCTCCACCATGAACTTTAATAAGTACAATAAGTACAGGTCCAATCTCACTAATGAACATCTTAAATCTATACTGAAGATCTCGTTTGTTTCCTCCTTCAAGCCAAATATGTCTCAGCAAGGGCAAGCAGCCAGGGCTCAGGCAGCAAGAGGTCAAAGAAGTAGTAGTAGTAGTTTAAACTTATATTCTGAGAAAATGCTCATGATCAGAACTGTTATTATTAAACACTGAGAACACTGGACAACTGTGATTTTTTTTTTTTTTTTGAATACTTGAAACCCTATTTTGTCAAATAGTCACACTTGATGCAGCCCAACCTCACCCAAACTCTACGTCCAGTGGCCCCCAGGTCATTTGAGTTTGAGACCTCTGCTTTAGAGTTTGTATTGTATTAGGTACATAGCGATCTTCAATATGATCTCTTTTGTAATATTCTGTAGCTATATTTCTCACTTCAAAATATTTTATGGGGACAGGTGTATGTTTGCATTTAAATTTGTACCTGAATTGAGTGAGGAGGGCACTAAGGCCAGGAAAGCATCAGAGAGCCCCACTTTCACCGGATGGTCAGTGGAATTCATTTCCGCCACTAAAATAGGGATCTGTGAAATGAATTTTGTTTTTTAATTGCTCAACTGGAAACCACTGAAGTTAAAACATTTTCCTCACCTCTTTGTAGTTAAAAACAATTTTCCCATTTTTGTGAAGAACGGTTTGAAATGTAAATGCTCCTTCGTTTTCTCTGTCTTTTAGTCGCACTTTATCCCACTCTACCACAAAGAGATTTCCTGGAGACAACAGAATCATATTACACATTATTAGAGCTACAAGTTCAACCACTTTTGTTATTTCAGCCTGGAGAGTCAAGACAGACACAAAGAGAAAGAGTGGTTTTATAGAATGAGTAAACTTTGGCGCAGAAGACATAGCGATAAACGGCATGAAGGGGATGATTAGACGATGAGAAGTGTGAAGGGGACTATGAGAGGATGAGAAGAGAGAAGACGATGATGAGAGGATGAGAAGCTGAGGGGGTGCCAGGGAGGAGGTGGGGCACAAACCAATCTGGCCGTGTACGTATAATGGGGGTTTATATTGGGCAAACAGAGCACTGATTGGACGAGGTGAAGGTGTAGGGATGAGTAATGGGAGCGAGGTGATAAAGGCTGAGGAGGAGGTAAACTCTGGAGATATGGTGAGAGGTGAGAGGAGCGAAGTTAGGTCTTCCAGGCTGAGTTTTTTGCGTGCAGTTATTTTCGTAATAAAATTGGCAATAAAATTTGCCTCCATGTTGTCTTAGAATCGGAATTTATTGATCCAGAGAACTTGTAAACAAAAAAAGAGAGAAAATACAACAGTGATAAATTTTTTATAAGAATTGAAATTTAAATTTTAGCCAAAAAATCTGTCAATAAAATAAGTGAAGTTTTCCATAAGTAAAATATAGTCAATAATTTTATCTTGAATGATCTCAGACAAAAAAAATCTACCAAAATGATATATTACAAAACAAAAAGTAGCTAGTGAATTGCATTATGTTTTTATATATGTTTTCTACACCTGTTTCACAAGCATACACAAAACTTCGAAATACCTTTGACCACCCTTACCATTGTCCGAGTACCTCACAGTGGAGCTTGATGAAAAACTGGGGTCAAAATTGGCCATTAGTGGAGCGACATATTGTGTAGCCGTCAGCATCTGGTGAATGACCTCTCCCATGAAGATAAAGCCTGTGTTTTAAACGGGTATAATTACAGATTCTGATTTCTGAAACATGAAATAACTTTGAATGAGTTGATACTTTGCAGCTGATGCCATCAACCTTCCCTGGGGGTGTGATGCTAACTGTAAGCACTGCTTGATTTGACAGCGTTTGCAAATTTGTGTATTGTGTCACCACTGATGAACATTATGTTATAGAAATACATGTAGAACACCCTCAGCGTGATGTCACTGCAAAGTATCAATAGACTTACCTCCTGTTGCTATAATAATTTGTCTCAAGTGGTGTCCATAAAAGGGGAAATCAAAGGAAAGTGCTACTCGCTTGAAAAGAATTAAGAATAATTAATTTATGCATAGATTATAGATTTGTATATATCAGTATTGCTCTTACCGCAGCTTGTCGGTGTGTGTTGGATAAGATGCCATGGATTCTGATTTGACTCGCACTCAAATTTACCCACAGTTCCTCTGTTCGTCTGTCTTTGGGTCCATAACTCTCCCATCTGTAGTAATTCTGGTTGTCCTCCTAAGAGAAATATAATACTGAAATTAGTATATATATTTTTTTCAGTAAATCCAGAAAATAATCAATACAGTCAATTCTTTTGAAAGGTCAAAAGTCCACAAAATGGTTGACTAAATCCCATGTGTCTTGTTTCAGACTATCATAGTGTACACTGTATTGCACCACTACAATTTTTATGCAAAAAAAACCAAAACTTTTTTCCTTTGTCCTGTTTTAGTCATTTTAAAATTTGGATTCTGACACAGTTCCACTCTAATTATACATTTTATGTATTTAAATAAAGGGATAGTTTCTTATTTAAACATAAATATTTAAATCTAATCATATTTAAAATGGCTTTTTAAAGTTATTTTGTAGTTTCTCTGTTTCTGTTTGGCCACTTGGGGGAGCTGTTTGTGCCTCACCCATGCTGTATCATTGACAACAGGTTGTATGTCTTTGATACAGGCTCTTCATGTTGATGGTGTTATTAATGTAGCCACAGTTGAAGGTGATAGAGAGCAGTGGTTGTGGGCTATGGAAAATGGGACAGTTAAATGCAGCGCTCTCTGCCTCTCTGCCTGCTCCATATACACACAGTCTGACCCACTTTTTCCTCCTATCTCCAGAGCCTGTTTTTCTAAAGGGGGCGTGGGACTTTGAGGTGACGAGGACTTAATAACCAAATATTTTTCCCTCACTGATGACTGGGAATCACAGTGTACCTCTTAAACTGATTCAATAATGCACTGCTCCTAATACCCATTACATACCACATAAATACTATAAAGTGCACCATGTAACTTTTCTGATGGGGCTCTGCCTCCACCTTGTCCACATGGAGATGTAATTGCATTGAATGTTGCACAGTATGGCAGAAAACATATCTGTATTGCACTGATTCAAGTGTTTCTTATTGTTACTTTATAAAACAAGTCTTACTGACTATGACCAGGCTTGCCTCTCCATGGATATGACCTATAACTTGCCCTAGTGAAATCACCTGCTTGTCTCTTGTTAATACCATACTGTGGAACATACCAGGTCAACAACATCTCCACGGAGACAAGCATGGAGGTAACCCTTCACAAAAAGATAGTGCATCTTTAAAGAAACTATTCTTTTTTTTTTTTTTTTTTTTTTTTTTTTCTAAAACTATTTGTAAAACCAATCCATGCACAGCTTTTAAAGAAGGTTTTTGCACACAGTTTTCCATTTTCCAAATAAGCAACATAATTGCTCCAAACTTTTAAAAAATCATGTCAATATATTGATGGGACAGTCACCAAAGTACCTTGAGATATCTAAGTAAATATTTTTACCACACCCGCTGATGACACATTTGGTGATTTATTGAGGAGATTCTGGTTGGCTGTGAAATCGAGGCTCCTACAAAGTGTGATCAGACGTTTTGAATGGAAAAGGCAGCACAGCACGAGCTCCTCTGGTGATCTTTTTGTCCAACTGAGTCATTGGCGTCATACACACCAGCACCATGCACACTACACAGCCATGCTAAAACAAACTGTAAGTTGGCAGGACAGAGCTAAAGTCTGTTTTCAATTTTCAATAAAAAGAGGAAAGAAACATACAACATGCTTTATTTGGGTTGAGTTCTTTTGGCTGATTCCAGTAAAAGAGACAAAAATACACACATGAAAATCGAGAGTCTTATTGTACAATTTCCCCTGCAGTAACTATTTTTTTAAAGGTGCACTATGTAACTTTTCTGATGGATAGTCTGCTGCCTGCATGCCACTATGGAGGTGTTACAAGTACTTTTGCTAAAAGATAAAAATATACATTATATGACTTGCTATGGTGATGTCACCTAGCCAGGCTGGCGCCACCTAGTGCCTCTGTTCAATTTAATTTCTCTCCAGCGACTAGGTCAGGAATCAGAATACACGAGACGTTTACAAAAACCCCGGAAGTGTGAGTCCGCACACCAGCAAATCAGCGAAGAGCCATACATTCTGTGTTGGCAACGATTCCCGAGATGGAGGATTTAAAGCCGGAACAAAGAGAATGTTTGGTGAATTTTATCAAGAGGAAAAACGTTATTGCCCTTCTTCCTACGAGATTTGAGAAAAGCTTAATATACCAGTTAGCCTGTTAGCGGTGCATTACATACCTCACAACCAAATAGCAGTGACTGGTTAAATAAAAAAAAGTACCCGCCTACTGCTGAGCGTCTAATGCTGTGAGGTCAGACAGTTTCTACGAAGTGAAACCTGCTGATAAATATATCACCTGCTTGTCTCCATGGAAATAGATACGTTGAATGCAATTCTGTGGAACTTTCCAGGCAAAACAACATGTCCATGCAGATCGCTCCTTCAGAAAAGTTACATACTGCCCCTTTAAGAATGAAAGCCAGTAAATATGAAACAGGACCATGGCAGACCACTTCACAGAATGAATACTGATTTGTTTTGGCCACAATAGTTTTTCTGATCTTTTACAGATACAGTACATGTACTTTTCATGCTTCAGATTTATTCCAGCTCAGTGTTACTTGAGCCTTTTGAAGTTTCACTTATTGGTGGTTTACAGTCATGCCATACAGTTCAGTATTATCTGTTATCTCAATATAATCTGCAGCATGCATTGCACCTCAAACATGAGCGTGGCTTTCATCTGGGGCAGGGCTGTAGTCCTTTGGTAAATTGTATCTTAGTCAGCCAAAATTTGTTTTATTTATATTATTATATTATTTACAGGAATTATAAGCAGAACGGAGAAGTGGATTAGCTCAAGATTTGGGAGTAAGTCATTTGTTTAATCAGCTTTTTTCCATATGAATACACATTTTCCTAGTACTTTTCCTCATAAATAGTTGTTTTTGAATGACATCACATGCAGTACAGTTACATGGTCAGATCATAGACAGTTGTTTGTTTGAGAGCTTTTGCCACGCCCAGTTTTGGTCAACTTATCAATCAGCAGGACATCTCTTTAGTCGATGACAGCCCTTCCTCAGGGGCCATAATTTAGTTAGTTTCCTTATAAGTAGAAACAACCCTTGGACTGACAGAATTAGTTATGACATATTTGGTAGCTTGGTTAAACCTTTCCATTTCCTTTTATTTGTTCAAATTTCCTTACCAGTACTTTTGTAATATTGACCGACAGTGAACTGGTGTCCACTGTGCTTCGTGCTTCTCTGTGCAGAGTCTCTCTCTTTTGCACACCAGTCGCCTCTTCATCTGTCCGCCATGACGCCCAGCTCACCAAAGCATCTAAAACAAAACAGACTTGAGTTTGGTGAGTGAGTTCTGTCAACACATACATACAGAGGCCAAGAGTTCACGCCAAAGGGACAATGCTTGCAAATTGAGATGATTTATACACGTCAAGGCTTTCTTCCATGTTTTGATAGATGATCCATAAGTCCCCATGGATTTCCAAATGTGTGAAAGCCATATTAAATTAACAAAGTGTACTGCTGCGTAAGCGCCTTAGCCTAATTTAAAACAAGTGAAGTTATGCGCACATCTGTAGTTTATTATTTCGCTGTAATTTGGATCATTAACAGTCAAGACATGTTTGCCGTAAATCAAAGGCAAATGCATTTTGAGCTCTTCCAACTTTCAATTAGAAGGAATACAAGAACCAATAAATACATATGATTAAGGAAAATAAGTTTTATTCAAACCACACAATGAGATGATGGCTTCAATAGAAAGGCTATCGAGGTTTTTTGTCCAAAGATTGATGTAACTGTGCTGTCTTTCATTAAGCTCCTTGTTGATAGGCCAAGTAGTTAGCCTCTATGGTGCATGTGGGGCCACGAATCCTTTTTTTTTTTCCTTTTTCCAACTTTGTTTATTGAACATGTTTAAAGGTGCATTATGTACCTTTTCTGCTTGAGGGCCCGTCATTTTTTTTTCTCCATGGAGGTGTTATTGCTTTGTTTGGAATGTTTCACAATATGGTATTAACCTTTCTATTTTCACAAGACCAAATCAGACTCAAGTTACAGGTCAGATCTGCACAGAATGCCTCTTTTTCTAGGTATTTTGAGCATTAAAACCACCTGTAATTAAATACAGGTAGAGCCATTTAATGTCTAATGTTTAATGTGGAACATTCCAGGGAGAGCAGTGACATATCCATAGAAACCTTTAACATTACGAGACAAACAGTGCATTATATCAGATAACACAATGATAACAATATTACAAAGGACACATCTGAATGTCCACGAATACATGTATTTTTTTCACTGTTTCAGTCCAGTCTCTGTGGGTTTTATGTCATCTGCTGAACAGATCAAACAGCATTACACAGGCCATTGTTAGCGTAAACTCACCCATGACTCACTGCTTTTGGTTTGACTTTGAACTAGTTTTGAGACCAGTTGCACTCCTAACTTTCAGCAGATCTGTCCTTGTTTATTTATGAAGGGACAGACTGATGAGAATATGATTGTGAAAAATATACTTCAAGGTTTGTATAAGCAGCAGTAATGTGATGAAATGTTATGCAATCCTGAGACTAAAATAGTGCTTTTCTTCTTTATTCTCTTTTTTTTCAGGCTTGGGGTTGGTAAAAAGTTATATTGATTCTAATGTAGTTAAAGGTTCACGTGTAACTTTTGGAGATGTTATTGCTTTGCCTGGAATGTTCCATAGTAGAGCATTAAACAGATCTATCTCAGTGGGGACAACCTGATGACACCATTAAGCCAAGTTACAGCCAGGTTTGATCTAGCCAGGCTGGCGCCACCTAGTGCCTCCGCTCAATTTCATTTCTCTCCCGCGACTAGGTCAGGAATCAGAATACACTAGACGATTTGCAAGAACCCCGGAAGTGTGAGTTCGGGCACCAGCCAATCAGCGAAGAGTCGTTGGTAACGACTCCCGAGATCGAGGATTTAAAGCCGGAACAAAGAAAATGTTTGGTGAATTTTATCAAGGGGAAAGACGTTTTTGTCCTTCTTCCTACGGGATTTGGGAAGAGCTTAATATACCATTTAGCCCCGTTAGTGGAGCATTACATATGTCACAATCAAATAGCAGCGATTGGTTAAATAAAAAAGTACCTACCTACTGTCGAGCAAACGAATAATAACACTGCAAGTCAGTTTCTACTAAGTGAAGCCGACTGATGACAGGTCTGACCTGTTCAGAGGCAATCCTGCATAATCCTGCTTTTTTCAATGTATTAGTATTAGTAAAACCATTGTAATTGAATAATTGCTGAGTGAATAATTTTAATACCATACTATTGAACATACCAGACCAAGTAACATCTCCATGAATGACTGACCTTCCACCAGAAAATGTTACATAATACACATTTAATAAACATCTAGATTTGGCTTTAAATTTTAATTATAGGAAAGATTATGCAAAGCTATAATACCAAAAACAAAACACCTACTCTGCTCTCTGCCTTTTCCTGATTGGGTTTCCCATTGTAAGACATGACACAAGCTAGAAACCTAAAATGCCCTTTTTGATTAAAAAAATATGTATATGTTGGAGGATGTCCCCAGACAACAGTATACATTATACATGCTTGCGACTGGCTTAAGGCCTACTGTAACTAGATTTAACATCTAGCTTTGATGTCAAATTTTACAAAAAGGCAACTCAAATCAGCAGGAAGACATTACTATATTATGCAATACTGTAACAAAATAGGATTTGTTATGGAAAAACACTCTGATTCAGGCAGCATTTCAATGTAAAATGTGTTAATTGGGACAGATTTGCAGCAGCTCAGATGAAAGAACCTCCCTATTACAGCATCTTTAATTGTGCTAGTCTTCAGTGGCCTTCAGTAGTTTCATGTGCTCCAAACATGTTCAGGGGAATGTGCACAGCCTGGTGCAAACATCCTGTTGACTTTAACCGGCATCCAAATTTTAAATAATTACAAAAGTGACACGTGTGACAAATTCACAGGTCCCCCAAATCCCAGTGTGAAACCGCCACACATGGAAATGATTCAGACAGATTTTCTAAATATAAAAACCTGCACAATAAAACTGTCAGATGTGTTGCCAGTTTACATCTTTTCATCCTTATGCGGCAATCCGTTACATTTTGTGCTGCCAGGAGAGCTGACCTTACACAAGAAATCTCTCTGTAATCTCTGTTATTTAACTATAAAAACAACCCAAAGCTGAATTGATCCCACCTCAACAAATAAATATCATGTGAGATTCATCTGATAAAGATTTGTCAGTCTAAGAGAAATATGCTAAAATTGGTATCTGGTATTGAGGTGACAACTATTGGACAGTAGTAATTGGACTGTAAAACTCCAAACATCTCTGGAGTAGAGTCCGCCACCTGCTTGCCATGTTTTTTTCTTGCCTGTTGCGCACTATGGCATTGAACACATCTGTAGTGCTGGGCACTATGGGGGAAAATTTCATTTACCAGTCATTTTCATTTTAATCAATCTCAACTTTCTATTCTATTTCATAAAATTTTTTCAAAAAAAGACATAAATGGCTTTTAGTATTGATTTAATGAACATAACCAATACATACTTTTACCTATTTAAACCATTTAATACAAAGAATACACATTTCTGAACTCTACTCCGAACCCCAGGCCTTTACTGACAGAGGACTGGCTGAAGACCTCTCAGTTTAAAAGCCCAGCCATATCATTAACGATTACACATGAATGATTTACGATCTCACAATCTCTCAATCAATTGCCCAGTACTACTGTCTTGCATTAATTAAATTTGACGTGTCTACTGCTTTATTTCTTTGAGCGTGTCCACCACATGTCTCCTGCAGAAAGAGCCGCTGTCATGTCTTATATTACTGTATGCCAGTGTCTCATAGGATTTCAGGACCTCCTAGGGGGCGGGGCTAGGTGTGTCCATCAGGTATGAATAGGTGGTCACTGAAGTATGGACCATTTCTTCTTATCATTTACTCACCTACATATAACACATATGGGTCATTAACACATATCCCATTCACAGCAGAACTCATTTTATCACACAGTATTAAATAAACTGTTTTAGTGCTCTGGCAACATCACAAGCTGGTGCTGCATTTTCATGTTAACCGCACAGACAGCTACACTTTCTGCACTGGGGTTGCACACACAGCCGCTGTGTTGAAAAATAAATAATCCAATCCATTTGTACTTCAGACTCCACCCCTGTAGCCAAGTGGTTCTAATAATGAACACTGGGCGGCAGGGGAAAATCATCAGCACAGTCTTGGGTGATGTGATATAGTACTTGAAATTGCAGTGGCCACTGGAGGCAGTACGCAGTTTCCTAAAAAGGATGAGAAAGAGTAGATAATACTAAACAATATATACAGAATTTAGAAGCAGAAAAGTTAATTTAGTGTTTAGTTCCACTTTAACTTGTAGCCATAGAATCTACCTTGTCTGCATTGCACCAACCAGATTGCAATCTATTGGGCACAGGAAGTCACACAGGATAATGCTTAACTAGGACACAGCAAATTCATCCATTTATAGTAAGCTGTCGTGTACAGTTCATTCAACCCACTGTTTCTCAGCCTGTCTTTATTCCCATTGAAAAAACAAACCTCTTTGTTTTAGATATTAGCTTTACATCACCTCTTTTAAAGTAAGTGTGATATTCAATACAACTACTAAAGCTCGACAATGTAACAAGTCTGTATTTTGGATTATAGCTGATGGACATTCAGCCTGTTGCAGCATAATGTCTGGGAATTTAAAAGTGGATTCTTGTGAAATATCTTGTTTCTGGTAATTTTTTGCTCTTTGGACCATTGCATTGTTATGCCTGAATTTAACCATTGGAAATATGAGTAATGTGTTAAATATGACAAATTTGCCAAAGAGCCATCCTGTAAAAGTCACTGCCAATGGTTGGTGCTTGCTTTGGAATGCTCCACAGTATGGCATTAAGTGATTAATTCAAGCATTTATTTAATTACAGGCACTGTTATTGCTCAAACCTACACTGAAAACACAGCATTCTTACTGTGAGCAAGGTCGCTTATTCACAGATCTACTCTGTTACTTCTGATAGCTTGTTGTGTTTATTTTCATGGAGATACATTTAATGCCACACAATGGAACTTTCCAAGTAAAGAATTAACATTGTATGGAGACGACCAGGTTGCATGCCCTCATACAGAAAAATTACATAGTGTGCCAATTATTTTTCTGTTTTAGTTTGCATAGGTGTTTGTTGTCACCACTTTTGATGATGGTTGAATCTGATAAAAAAAAAATAAAAAATTAAAATTAGGGTGCTAACCATTCATCATAACATCTTCTCCGGCTGTATATAATGATATTGCCCTTTGTTATAACATCAATATGACTGCATAACTCATGATACCAGTGGGTTTCCAAATATAAAGTCTAGTCCAGTGTTGTAAAGGAGGCCTAGAAACAGGATGTGAACCACCTGCAGACTCTGGCAGGCGCGTTAGTGCTACAGTAATCATCACAGGGCCAGGTCAGTGCTATGTGTGTCGCAGCACCTCAGCCCAGTGCTTTTTACAGCTCTGAAACCTGCCCCGAGGCGACTGTGGCGTGGGAGGAAACCATTTGGCACCTCAGTGTCCCAGGAACTGCAGTAGCCATAACACAAATGCTGGGAATGATTGAGAAAGATCAGATGTTATTAAAATCTACTCTACTAGTAACATTTTTGGTGGGGGGATTTGCCACCTGCTTGATTATCACTTTGCCTGGAATGTTATAGTGTCTTGCATTTAGTTAACTGCAGTTGTTTTTATTTAAAGTGGAACTAAACACTAAATCAACTTTTTTTTGGCTACTAAAGTGTGTATATAGTGTTTCAATAGCAGTGTCTACTGTTTAGCAATGTCTACCTAGTCCTTTTTTAAAACAAACTAGGAAATTTACAGCCTTGTGTGAAAAACTGACTGCACGCTGCCTCCAGTGGCCTCTGTCATTTCAAGTACTACATGACATCACACAGGACTGTCCTGATTACAGCCAAGTGTTTCTTCTTACAAACACCCGGCTGCAGGAGCGGAGTTCGAAGTGTGAATAACTGACAGACCAATCACACTGTTATGTTTGGGATCTATAAAAATATAACATGGCATGGAAAATTAGGGACCTGGTCCAAATATTCAGACCCTTGGATGTCAAAATATTTAGAGATGAGGCAAAAGTGTTTAGTCTCATGTGCATTTTTGTAAGAATTCCTCATCAAGTTTTATGACCAAGACATCTAATCTCTCTAACTAGGCTTAGAGGAGTCACTTGTTTGTCTCCATGGAGGTAGATGTGTTTAATGCAACACAGTGAAACATTCCAGGCAAAGCAATAGCATCTCAATAAAGATGAGCAGGTAGCATGCCCACCTCCAGAAAAGTTGTACATAGTGTATCAAGCTTTTTTTTCCCCCCTCTTCTTTAGATGTTTATTGATTTTTTTCATGGCACTAAAGTCTGGTAGCTATTGTAGCAGATGTCTGTACTTTACAGTAGTGTAATGGCTTAGGCTTGAATCCAGTTATACTGCCACTTAGTATATATTAAAGGTAATTTCAGTTTAAAAAAAAAAAAGGTTAGAATAGAAACACAGATCCGTATAAGATTTTGCACCTGCTAAGCTAGGATGTAACTGTCGTCATTTTGGCACTAGTTCTTGTTTGTGAGCTCATGTAATTTGCGGCATACCTCTGGGCTAATGACCCATGCTAACTAAAGACACCTGTGTGACTATTTGGCTATTGATAATTTTCAGTGATCGCCACAAATACCCCAAAGCCTAAGGCAAAAGTCTAAGGAAATTAATGCTAAATATAGCTGTTGTTTCTTACATTTAAGTAAGAAACAACAACTTAGTACTGGCAGTAATCACAGTCAATTAGTGGTTACATTATCCAACATTTAAGGCTAATGGGAGCCAGTGTGAAATCTAACATCTTCATGGTGAATAGTCACAATTAGCCAATCATAAAGACTGCAATTATGTAAAGGTGCACTATGTAACTTTTCTGTTTGTCAGTGGTGTTAAAGAAGACATAATGCTTGTGTCTGCTATATAGATATAACCTATGACTCCCGTGTATCATTATGTTAGAACCTGGACAATATATAAATTGCAATATTGATCAAAAAAATTTAATACAAGAAACAAGTCAGCTGACTTCTGCGTTAGAAAACTGTGGTGCCCAGTGGGAGCTGATGTCACCTTAAATGTCCGCAACAACAAAGAGCCGTGTGGCTAATGGGACTTCCTATGAATGGCTGCACATCACATTAGTGAGTAACAGATTTTCTTTAATCTGCACCAAAATGACTACATGGCCCTGCCAAATCCTACATGTATCACTGATGAAGAAAATAAAATTGGGGAACAAAGTCAAGTACAGAGCAGTGGTGTATGCTAGTGGGTGTGAAAAAGAGCATTGATCCGAGCAATGATGTCTTGAATACAGGATCATGAAGATTACCTAAAATGCATAAATCACATTAAATGCAACTTTGAGAGGGAAAATCTGAAGGGGATACAACTATGGTTAAAACTCTAAAAAGTCGATTATGCATAATAGGTCCGCTTTAAACTTATCTTTCTACACAAAAACAAGCAGGTGTCATCACCAGGTGGAATTACAGGTTGGATCTGTGAACATGCACTTCACTGGAGTCCACCTGTCACTTACCCGAAGCATGACAGAGGCTGACCAATAGGGGGAGTTGGATTGTCAGAGCATACCTTATGTGTTTAAAAAAAAAATCCCAAATGCCCAAAATGTTGGAATTCCATTTTTTTTTAAGCTTCAGCAACATTTGTAGTCAGATTTAAACTTTTTTCACTACTTAAGTTTTTAGTTGGCTTGCCCCCTCTGTCTATACAGCATGTGGCAGTTTTTCTGGCTGTCCTCTACAGAGCCCGGGCCCCTGATCAGTGGAAGTGGGACCACAGGAGAGGCCATAGAAACTAGAGCATCTCTGATTGTTGGAGGAGGAGGAGGAGGAGGAGGGTTAGCGTAAGAACGAGGCTGGCTAAAAATACTATATCTCCAAGGAGAACTAAAATACATGGCGACACACAGAGGTGAAGAAGTATACAGCATCTGTTTAATAAAATGTGAAAAAAAAATGAGTAGATTAAATTATGAAAATAGATATGAAGTTTGACAAGTACAAATACTGATGACTACATGATTGAACCAAGATCCAAGACTGCAGCTCTTGTAGGGTGTTCTCAGACTGCACTGGTCAGTATCGATTAGAAGTGCTTTAGTCCTGGGTTAGACCTGGATTAGTCTTGGATTAGTCTTGGTTTAGCTCTGTTTAGTCCTGGTTTAGTTTTAGGTTAAACCTGGATTTCTGGTTTAGTCATTGTTTATTCATGCTTAGTCCTAATTTACCCCTTTGTTAGACCTAGTTTAGTCCAGGTTTAGTCTTGGATTAGTCCTGGGTTAATCCAGGATGAGACCTGGGTTAGTCCTCGGTTAGACCTGCTTTCAACCTGATTTATATTACAGTACATTGAAGTGATGTTTTGCAATGGTCAGTATCTATTAGTGAGGCTTTAGACCTAGTTTAGGGCTCGGTTAGACCTGGTTTATTCCTGGTCCTGGTTTAGACTTAGTTTTGGCCTTGTTTGAAGTGTGGAGTGGAGAAGATTAAGTAACGGATGAATTCCAATTTAGAGCTTTCCTCCCATGACCCATCAAGTGTGTGTTTACAACATACCTTTACAACAGTTCTTTCTTCCAAATTTGATAACAAAATCACCAAGGATCTGTTTGCAAATATGATTATCCTCTTGGGACTTATTACCGTGGCATCCCTCTCAAAAACACATGAAAACTTTTATGTGCTTTCCTGGCTTGGGTCAGGGAAATGTCTGGGGACCGTTCAGTTTAAACAAAAATGCATGAAGAATTTTACAGACAAAATAGTTTTCAAACATTCTTGAACCTTTGCAAATCTGTAGCCAACTTTTGAAATACCAAGAATTTGCACATTTTGTAGCCTTGACTTTACTATCCTGCATATATTTGACACTTACTTTACAAGAGGATATAAAAAGTGTCAATATCACAAATCATGCATACCTGTGGATAAAGTAGGGCTTACCTTCTTGCTCTTGTGACCATACTCGTCCCAAATCAACCTGGGACAGAGAGATAAGGAGGACAGCCCAGACCCCCATGTCCCACCAGTCCAAACTCCAACTTTTATTAGTGTTTTGGTCTTCTTTTCAGCCCCTTTTCTGTGTCTACTGCTGCTGTTCCTATTGCTGGACTTGCGGGGTTCCTCACTCCTCCGCTCCCCCCGCCTAACAGAGCTCAAGTCCTAGGTCCTCTGCTTTTCTCTTCTCTCTCCCTCTCTTTTTCTCCTTCTCTCTCTCTTTCTCTCTCTAAGCAAATCAGGAGTGGAGTTATGAAGCGATACAGCTGACATAGAGAAGTGTTCACTCCTCTGTCCTACCATTCTTTTTTCTCACTTGAAGAAAAAAAGTGTATATATTTCATTGGCAGAGTGGAAGAGCATGTGTCCCCCTTGTGGAGATAGAATGAACTTAACACAAAATACTGCCAAGTAGTTTCTAAAAGTGCAGAAAAAATGACACTTCCTAGTAACATTTAGTAACAGTGAAGGCAAGTGTGAGCATGCATGTCATGACTAGAATCACTATTTTGATTATTTGAGTGTTGACTTGATAAAATGGACTAAGACTTAAAGGTGCACTGTATAACTTTTCCGGTAGAGGGTCTGCAACCTGCTTGTCTCCATGGAGATATGACTGCTTTGACTTGATTATTCCACAGTATGGAAATAAATTTGGAAATCACATTGGAGACAGGTTAACGGTTAGATGGAGAAGAAAGCCTGCACATAGACAGACAGATAGATTGATAATTCTTTAGTGATCCCCAAGGAGAAATTCAACATGGTAAGAATTCATGTTTTTATAAGTTATTTTTGAGCTATAAAACACCTGGAACTAAACAAATACTAGGGAGATATTTTTAATGTCTTACTGTAGAGACAAAGAAATAGCAAGTAGCAGACCTTCCACCCTTAAAATTTACACAGTGCACCTTTAACTTTGACTTGATTTTTTGCAATTCTGGACTTACTTAAGACTTTCAAAACTTGGTCTCATCTCTGGAAATGATTTTCACATCTACTCACCAGCAATACCCAAATAACAACTAACCCACTAATAACAAAGTCAAAAAGCAACACCACAACTTACTACTGCCAACCAACTATTACCACTACAATATATCCTACCTTTACAAACTACAAATGTGTAGCCATACATAACCACCTGACTACATAGTTTAGGAAAAAACAGTAGGACCTGAGGAAACACATTTATGTCCCTTTAGTCCCAGACCATATGCAAACTGTACACAGAATGTCTCCGTCCAGTCATTGAACCAAGGACCTTAACCACTCTGTACAAACAGTTTTTCTTTTATTAGCAACCTCTGCATACACATTTTTTCCAACTCTGAGGAAAAGGCAAAGTACATCATCCTGATGTTGCAATATTTTTGGATAATATAATGTCATTTTCAACACAAAATAAAACTAGTTTCTTAATATTAAAGGCTGGTTTTATACTAGTTCTGATATAGATCAAGACCAATCAAAAATTCAATAAACGTAAAACTTCTCTCCTATTTACGTGGTTTTCTTTCAGTATTATTGATCCTTGTCCAAATGAGTTTTTAATTTAGATTCTTTTGGTGCTTTTTGTATCAGTGAGTATCTGGATGTCATTTTCATCACATCCCATCTGTTTAATATCATCAGTGACACATTAAAGACACATTGAAAACAGCAGCATACTTTGAAATAATTGAATTTGTCCAAATTGTTGTCAAACATTCAAACACGGAAATGTTTTAACTTAAATGTATTCTTTTGTACAGCATGGATATCCACAAAAATGACTAAGCGACGCTGCTGAATCCTACGCCTATCACTGGTTAAAAAATGTAATTTGACAATGAAGTAAGTCGAAAGCAGTGGGCGTATGCCAGTGGTGGAGAAAACAGGGGCTGATCAGCAATACAGTATTCATTATGTCTTGAAAATAAGTGATTACAGATTTTTTAAACATACACGCATGATTCCAAATAGAACTTTGAGAGGGTAAATGAGGTATAACTTGGGTAAAAGCTCTGAAAAGTTGATTTTGCATAATAGGTCTGCTGTAGGTTTACCATGCAAGTCTGCTGATTCGTGTTTTGAAGATTTTTTATTTTTAATGCCCTTATAATTACCAGAACAATTATAACAAAACAAACCTTGCACCCTCTTCTTATAGTAGTAAAATGTTAAACATCAGATTAATGTAACATGTTGAGTTGTCATGCTCCAGATTAGTGATCCATATGGTTTCCTGGAATGGGATATGAACACATGTGGTTTACGTTCTCAATTTGATAACGACTACAAATCCCATGTAACAGCTCAGTAATCTTTATTGTTTGTCTATTTGGCCTCATCATATTTTGGTAATTTGATCATATTTACCAAAGTCCAGTACTGACCTTTGCCACACTGTCCTGCATGTTTTTTTCCCTTGGGTTGCTTTTTAAAACTTGGCTCAAAAAGACACTGGCTGTTTCTCATTATGCTGGGAGTCTTCTGTCTCTTCGCAATTGGGAACAGGTTGTAGAGAAGATTATTTTAAACTTTACCAGAGACACAAGTCAATGCTGAGGTCAACATAGAGCTTTATGTTCGGGGGTGAGGTAGGTGTTGGTTGATAGGAAAATCGTCTTTATCGGCTACCTACAAAATTGCCATAAAGTGGAGACAGTTATAGTGTACCGATTAGTACTCCCTTCTAGAAGCTAATGATTTGTCGCTTGTAACTGTGTTGTAATGTAAAATGAATACAGATATCTGTACTTGTGTTTTTTTTTTTCTTATAATTTGATGTTTGCATGAATTACTCAGTCAGAAGTATCTGAGTGCAGAATTCAAACCAATGTACTTTTGTATAGCCCCAAAAGCACCACTTTAAAGGCACCATCTGTAAGTTTATTTGATTTCACTAGTATGCCTGAAGTAAAAATCTGCTCTGGTCAGACTGTGTTGAAATAAAGATCACATTAAAGTCTAATAGAGCTTCTGGTAGAGCATGCCTACAGTTAACATCAAACGCCCAGGGAATGATGATGACATTCGCTGCAAAGTATCAATTTGGCCAAAACTGGGTAACCTTGCACAGCAAGATGGGTTCCTGTGATATTTGTGAGTTCACAAACTCACAAGAGTCGATCTTGGCGTGCCCGCACTGTAAGGATAATTGTGTGGGCGGACCAATCACAGAGCTGCGTTGTGCGGAAGCCAAAAGCCAAGCACCCAAACGAACCAAAACAAACATAGCAGTGCCGACAGACGTACTAAAGGCAATTTTAGCATCAAATTGTTTGTGAAAAATTTGCAGAGGGAAGCACTTTGTGCAATTGGGGACAGGGAAGAAGTCTGCTTTTTTCCTAAATGTATTTAACTAAAGTTAGATTTTTTGGGCTTGTTCTGCTGTTGTGGCACTTTGGCCACTCAGATTCGAATAGTCGACATGATGTTCAGCATTTTCTGATCGCTTTCAGCAAGAGATGTTCCAGACTGATCATATGTAGAACTCCATTCAGAGTGCCACACATATCAATCTGGTGCATGCCAGGTTACAAACTGGGTATTTACTGATTGATTGAAGATTTAGCATTTTGCAGTATTTGCAAAACGTTATAAGAATACATGCTGTATTTACTGATTGAAACTAAATTGTTATCAACATAGTTTTTGTGGTGCCAGTTCATAAATGTCTTGAAGCATAAATATACTTTAGACTACAGTCTCAAAAGATACTTTTTGTTACTCTACATCACTCCACCAATGTTTTTCTGGTAACAATTAGCTTTGCCTTTTTACACCCAATTTATGAAGGCCTCTTCGTCTGGCCTGTCTGTCTGTACAAGGCCGTAAATGTCTGCTCTGAGAACACTGTGAAATTGTTTTGAGGTCTTTCTAGCACCTTCCTTTAAAACAACTTTTTATTTAGACTTTACTTCTCTTTCTAGGACTTTGAGTTAACATGAGAACAATGTGTACTAGTAATTCCAGATGGGGACACATGGCTTAAGGCAGACTAATATTAAGAGACATTCTAATGTTTACATACCAGATTCAAGTGTACAGTGTTACAAAAGTTATGCAGTACTCCTGTTTCTCCACCAAACTGGAAACATTATTTGAATTTTAGGCAGTGACTTGTGGTGCTTATTGTAAATCCTGCTTAAATCTCCCACTGTGGCTAAAGATCCATTCCGATATGTTTTTGTTGATTGTTGCCTGTGTTGATACACTATTAGCAGACATTAGCAGAGTCGTTAGCAAACGGGCAGCACATTAAGCACTGTTTGGAGACACTTATCTGTTGATGGCACTCAGAGACAAGGGACATGGCGTAGTGATAGGGGCAGGAGGAGTCTGGGATTTCTAGACTGGAGAACCAAATCACACCAAATACACAAATCACACATTTCTTTAGGCCTATAGATTTATACTATACATGTCTTTTCAAGATTCAAGGATTTATTGTCATTGTCTCATTGTTGTAACAATGAGCATTTAGTAGTGCTAACAATACTGCAAAGAGTTCAATTCATAACGTGCAAATACTGGAATGTAAATATGTACATTATTGAGGTACATGTAGCACAATCACATCACATAAAACAGAGGTATAGTATAAGGCAGATAGATAAATAGATAGATAATTACTTTGAACATAATTGGATTACATTACTAGTTACACAATTTCAAGGGCCACATATTACTATCTAAATAAAGTCCACCGTGTGCTACATTAGATGTCTGTTAGTACTTAGTTCATCTTTTATTTTAATAGCCTACTTATTTTCCCATGAATAAACTGTTCTCCATTATTGTTCATTAGCATTATTAGCTATGGATTATTATTATTATTGTACATACATTCAAGCTCTGTCAGGGATAAACCAGATGGCTTTTTACACCAAAAATGTATAAATAAATACATAAAATACATAACATCAATAAATATAATACAATAAAAAAGCCCAATGCCTGTATTGATATAGTTTTTGTATTATGCATTGCTGTAGTTTTCTGAAAATCTTGAACAACTTTTGACTTGCAATAAAATAGAGTCAAAGTCACCTTAATAACTTATAAAGGAATGACAAAAGTATTTCCTGTGTAATCAGTTATGAGTTGTTCATGTTAACTGTTCCTTCTTGAATAAAGACAATAATCGGCATTTGGCAACCGTA